CAGCGGTCATCTACCACATCATTGTGACACGTCACCAAATCAGCATAGTCAGTAGAAACTTGCTTGTCACGTGTTCGAGATAGCTGAGTTGTTGTACACATCACCGATAGCTGAGTTGTGATCCGAATCACTATGACACGTCACCGTCGACGCCCAATCACATGATGAGTCATTTTCCACATCATCTATACACGTCAACATTCCTGCACAGTCATCCGCCACATCAGCGTATGGTTCGAGTCATCAGATGGGTCAGCTTCCACATGGCATAGACATGTCATCTATTATTCATGGTCGTCAACTGATATTTTTTCGTCTCATGCCAGCGTCATCGCTGTAGTGCCTTTAGCGGAGTGGACTACAACTTTTTTTTAATGTTTTTCGTTTGATAAAGAGTGAACAGCGACTTATGCAGCAATGTCAACAGCAGACTGGATCGGCAGCATTTGTTATTGGGCCTTCGGGAGGCCCAACACATTGACGGGTATTGTGTTTTCAGAAGGCTCTTATTTTTTTCCCCTCTATTGAACCCACAACTTTTAATTATATTTCAGTCTTTTATTTTATTCGTTTTTTCCCCTATGCTATTTTATTATTCTTTTAATCCGATCATATTGAGAAAAAAAAAAAAAAAGCTTTAAAATTTTTAAAGGGCCATATTAAAAAATAAAATTAAGAGACAGGTAAAAGGAAATATAAAGTGAAGAACAAAAATATATTTTAGCGTAGAATATTATATACTTTCCAATAAAATTAACACGTAATGGAAAGTTTAGTTAGAACCAGAAAACACTTTTTTAAAGGGAAAAAACTGAGGAATATGATTTAGGGATTAGCTAACAAGCAAAAACATGAAGAACTAAATAGAGATGCATAAATAACAAATATAAACTAATATTATATTTATTATTCAATACAAAATATTCATTTAACACATTAGAATTTTATAATCATATTAGAATACTAAAAGCACATAATTTAAACGACCCAAATTTTAAGTTTATTTTGTTGGCTGTTTTTTGAGTTAGTTGAATAAAGCTTTTGGGCGTCGGCACATAACTTATCAAGCTTATATATGTGCCAATGATATCAATCCAATGATAAAGGAATGAATGTAAGACTGACAAATGCAAGTAACATAGGATGAAACAGGCACAAGACACTCCTACACATTCCTTATTCATTGTTCTGAGATTACCATGATGAACAAACCAAAGCCAAGTTCAACCAAGTATTTATGATTACTGCAGGGTTCACAGGCTTCTAGAGTGCAATGAAAGAAGAGGGGAAAAACTATGGGTGAATATTATAGACGTAACAAAATTAGGGACGAATATAAAATATGAATACTGGTCGCAGTTTATTAGATGTTCCTCTAATCTAATTAGACTTTTCAACAGAAGAAAGGAAGAAAGAAAGATTAACATAGACAGGATAAAGATTAAACCTCTGATCAAGAAAGAAATCGAAGTAGGAATTACGATGTCAAACTTATATCTCTCTGTGATATGATGATATTAATGGCTTTTACCAGCTGCACACATCAAATCAGCAAGCATTTGCGCTTTCCACTTTCATGCAGGCTCCTCAAAAATCACCGATGCTATATTACAAGAATTTTCTGTTGGCTCCTGACATAATCTTATCTTTTTGAGTCCTTCTTCGACGACTTCGATTCACCTGCCATGTTCTTCTTTCTCCTTGGGGCACCCATCCCGCCAGCAGGTTCCACTAATGGACCAGACCATGTTTGAATATTGGCTTTTGGGTATGACAGGTTTGTAGAGCTAAATGAAACATCAGGAGGATCAAATACTGGATCCATGTGATGTGAAGAACCCAGAGTATAGCCTAGAGTTCCGTCTTGGTGGGGCGGAGGAAACTTCTCGCTCTTGCTCTTAGCATTTGCATGCGTTATCAATCGCCGTCTCTGTATTGGAGGTTAAATCATAAGAGCCATTAGATGTAAAGCTAAACCTCAATATCCAGACATTCATTCCAAACAATGATTTTGAACAAGTTAAATGTGCTCTCATGACCAATTTTACAATTCTATCATTTTAAAAGCAGATCCATGAGAATACTTCTTGAAGGTTGCCAGGGGTTTGGTGCGGATACACGTATGACTAAAGGTAGAAAGTGCTCTACTAAGATAGCTAGCAACCAAATTGACATGGAGCAAATAATTCTTGCTTGGTAAAAAACAAATATGAAATCAACAAACTTGCAGTATATGGCAAGAAGGTAAACTTGTTGGATCAAGCTAACAACATATCCACAAAAAAATAAAGTGAACAATACGCAACTTCACTGTATTAAAGATGGCCAAGAACAAATGAGTATGAAACTAAAATATATGTACTTCAAGTTAATTGTGACAAGCACGAGATGTTTTTCGAAGCGAATGAGATTTCTTAATAGACATACATCAATATTTGCCTGAAGCTCAGCATTGGCTTCCGGAACAGGAATTCCCCTCCCTCCCCGGTCACGAGGACGAGATTTCTTAGCACCATCAGCATTGGCTTTACCCGCTGCTCTCAATCTACATTGATGGCAAACGATGAAGTCAAATATCACAATGTGTACATTTTCGTTTTGTTTTTTAAAACAAATAAAAAATCTTCTACTGCTGATAAAATCAACGAGGGGTCCGTGAAAAGGTTCGTTTGGAAAAGAACAGCAACATACATGCATGTTCGTGTCACATAGATGCCATCTAACTTGCTCCATCAATAAAGATGGGAACAGCAAAAATATAATAGAAATGAGTGTACCAACGAATAGGAAAACATTTACATATTCTAATAAGACTAAGGCAATATGCTAGAAATGAAGTTAGCGGGTTATAATGAAAACACAAGCTGAGTCTTGTCCTGTATGAAAATTTTCATAACAAATTTTATGCAGATTATTAGAAATTCCTCAGATAGTGGAAACACTCATTTAAATAAGTGAAGGATCTGCCCTTTATAATTTAACCAGAGGCATATTTAGATTATTGTTCAAATTTTCAAATGAATCAGAACTCAAAAGTAACCAAAGCCTTCCACCTTCTAGCTTCTTCATCTCGTAGCTTTGCATCCATCTCCTTGCTGGGAGGATATTTTGGAAGGCTAGATGGCTCACAAGCATAAGGTCTTGTAGTGAAGAACTACAAAAGAGAAACAATCAATATCAAATTAGGATCCCCACATCTAATTATTGAAACTCTTGAGAAATTTAAGTGCAATTAATCAGCGCAGCGTCATAAATAAAACGACCAGTGCATAACTATCATCATTTTCAGTTAGCAACAACCAACCAGACTTCTGCCTCAAAATAGTATGGCCACTTATAAGTAAACGATGCCCAAAGATGCAAGAAATTGAATCTAGTAAAGAGAAGAAAGTAGCTCACACATCCCTTGACTTTTTTGACTTAGCTTATCAACTTTTAATTAAACAAGTTAGCATAACAGGATTTAGTACAAAACAAGAAAAACCATGACAATCCAGAACTTGGATAGAAGCGTCTGTAGTAGCAGAGGAATAGAGTTTAAAAGAAGAAGAAGAAGAAGAAGAAGAAGCTAAATAGTTGCTTGCATGTGCTGAAAAGCAATGGTAAGGAGTAAGCACAAGCAGAGGTCCACAACATATAACCCAGGGTTTATTTTAGAAAAGCGCCCAAGGACATGCATTTTCAATATATAATTGAACACAGGGTAACGTTCACTTTTTTTTCCTTTTTTTTTTAGGGGTTTTTTTTGGGGGGGGGGGTTGAATGCATGTATTTTTAATGAAACTAAGTGCACTTGTAAACAGAATTTCATATCTTCAGGTGGTTATTATGAAATCATGACAGAAACTTCAATCACTTGAGTAATAGAATGATTAATGATTACACTCAGATGCAATTATTTAAATACTTGCTATCAAAATCTCCAATTAAAATATAACAAATGCACAATTTTCCAATAACAAGACAAGTTTATATTTTAATTCGATGGCCACACATTTGTCCATTAAACTTGTACACTTCTCATATTATAACCCAAGAACATGGATACAAAGCACTACGTTTTTCTTTCTTTCTTTTTTTCCCTTTTGATTAACAGAAATAGGCACACTAAAGTCAGAACAGCATGATCAAAGAGATAATGAAAAGAAGGTTGTCTATATTAAAATCGTCTCTATTCATATATATAATGAAATTGTCAGTCATATTCTTGTAGTATGATATAAACCCTTTTTTAGTATTTTTGGAAGAGATTGACTTTACCAGTTCATCTGACATTAGATGACAAGAAGGGAGCAATCAAGCATAAAGAGACAACAAAAACAAGGTGATTTTGAAGTGTTCACTTGGGAACCAAAATTTAAATCTTACTTCACTTTGCAAGGCAGCAGAGCAGTGGCCTGACGTTCAGCTGGATCAATTGCAAGAAGGGTCTCGATTAGTGGCAAGGATGATGGTGGAAAATCTTTGAATACATCTGATATGCATCGCTTGTATGATTGTTGGGGCTTAAAAATGGTAGCATGAGGCAACTTTGACTTTTTCCAATACTCTTCAGAAGGAGAACCACATAGCTTAAATATCTTATGTAGCTGCTCCACCTAGAAAGCATGAATAACACTATATAAGAGAACAAAAGCACCAACCTCACAAACAAGAAGTTGCGGAAAATTGAGAAGCCAATGGCAACAAAGTCCTGCACCATCGACTACTGAAGTGAATACATTTTTATTCCCCGCAAAGATGGCAAGAGAAACTCTATGGTATGGTATATTCAGTCATTCAAAGATTACCTCTGTTCTACCAGGCAAAATTGGCTTTCCGGCCAACAATTCTGCAAGAATGCAACCTGCGCTCCAGAGGTCCACTCCCACACCATAATCAGTGGCCCCGAGAAGAAGTTCTGGAGGTCGATACCATAAAGTCACCACCCTACTTGTCATAGGGTGCTTGTGATCAGGATCAAAGAAGGAAGCTAATCCAAAATCAGCAATTTTAAGAATCCCTTCATTGTCAATAAGAAGGTTTGACCCCTTTATATCTCGATGCAACACATGACGGTTGTGACAGTGTTCCAGACCAGAAAACAGCGCTTCATGTAACACTTAACCTAAAATAGATATGGATATGATAATTAAAATAAATTCGCCACAAAGAAAAAATTTATCTAAAAAATTATATTTGAACCAACCAAGGCCTGAAATGTCAATACTGAGGCTCGGTGAACTTAATTGAGGGGCTTGTGGCAAGTCCGGCTAGATCATGCTCCATGTATTGAAAAACAAGATACAAGCTACATGACATTCTAGAAGTCACTAAACCTTCCAGTTTGACAACATTGGGATGATCCAGTCAGTCGACGTAATATGAGAATCTCTCGGGCCATGAATTTCACACTCTCTGGCTCCAAATTGTCAAATCGAACCTTTTTTAAGGCAACAATTTTCCCAGTTAAATTATCTCTGGCTTTGTATACATTACTGTATGTGCCTTGGCCAATCTGAACATTAAAAAAAGATAGTAATCCTTAAAGTTTATAACATCGGAAATAAGTAGAAATAAAAACAAATTTATGAGGGTTTGATGAAACTGGAAGGCTTTCAACTTACATGCAAGCACAAATTTCCAATCCAAGCATGCCAAAAAAACAGTATTACTAATTTTACGTGTTGCTTGCATTTCAAAAACCAGACGATAGAGAATGGCAACATAAATTACCAATAAAATTAATCTTAAACTCGGTTGAAAGAAAACATCAACACTCTCCATTTAAGGAAATGGAAAACAACAGAAAAACAAAGAAGCGTCACACCCCGAGAGTCAACTCCTCCTTACATCACACTTTCTCAAAATGCAAACAACATAATCAAACCAAAGAAAGCTGTGTTCCGCTTCCACAAGCTTGTAATGGAAACAAAACAAAGATTACCCCAAGATGTGATACACCTTATCAAGCTTTTCAAAAGTGTCAGCTCTCCTAGGCGTCAACCCGTGATGGCTTCCCCTGCAACCTTGGAGAGCCAAGACGGCCATCCTGCCGCCAATTGCTCGCCGTGTAAATGGTTAGGTGGATTGCTCAGCCTCGGATTTGGCCGCGACGATCGCCGCCTTTCCCCTCTTGGACGTGTACTCTTCTCCTCTCCACCTTCCTTCCGATTCCCACCATTCTGAACCTCAATCACTTCTGCTTTCGCTGCTGCTGCAACTTCCTGTTTCCTCTCCTCCCTCGCTTTCTCCCTCTCCAACACCGTCTCTCCGGAAAACTTCGCCGACGCCTCTCTTCCGAACACACAGCCCATATCTCACTCAATACACTTACTCACACACTCTCCTCCTCATCGCATTCCCACAACACTTGCTCCACCCACATTTTCCCTCATTTTCCTCCCACCAAAACATCTTACCCCATGAAGATTATCCAGCCCTCGGAAAAGGAGAAAAAAATATAAATGAAAGAACCCTAATAATAATTTTCCTCACCGATCTTGAAAAGTAGAAAAGGGGTTATAATAAATGGAATGTGAGAATACGCTAATACAAGAGACCCTAACTTTACCAGACAAAAGGTGAGAGAGCAATGATTTGTAGTCACCCACAAAATGGGGTACAGTCAAAGAAATGAGCTTCTATCAGACACCCCCACATATATACAGAGGAAAGGAAAAGAAAGGAAAAGCAGAAAAAACAGTAAAAGCTTTTTTCTTTCTGGTGTTCTTTTTGTTGTTCAAGTGTTGTTTTGTGATTGTGGAATCAAAGTTGAAACAGTTCAAGTTGGAACTCTTGAGCTTGGACTTGCCAGATTCAAAGATGTGTTCATAAGAAAAGAATGTTTTTGAGACAGAAAAACTCCGTGGGGGCGCATCTCTCTCTTGCCAACCACTCTATAACAGGCTGCCGATGTGCCATTTAAGCCAGTGTGGCTTTCGTCGGGCTCTGGCTGGCTGGACTCAAAACGTTTTTTTTTAATATTTTAAAATTGCGGAAAAAAATAATTTAACACATAAAAAAATTATTAACATCGTTCAAAATAATTTTTTATAAAAATAATATCATGGTAAAAACAATCATTTTAAAATTTTATATGTTTAAAATTTGCTTTCATTTTTTATAACATTAATTTAAAACTTAATTTAAAATTTTAAAAGAGGTTTCAAAAATTAAAATCATAAAAATATTGATGATGATGATTAAAAATAATATATTATATGAAAATTATAAAAAATAATAATACTAAATAATTAGTTTCACAAAGACCAGGTTATTAGGTCATCAGGCCACTTGCGTAACCTTAATCCATAATCATATTGGAATTTCTAGCAAAACGGTTTAAATAGATTATTTTAAGATTGGAAAAAAGTAATTGCTTGTGGGCTAAAAATTTAATTATATAAAAAAGAAAACATGTTGGTAGAATATGTAGTATATCATAAGTTAGAAATGTAAAATTCTTCCTATCATATTTTAGTTAATTATATATTGTCTTAACAATGTTAATATATTTATATTATTTGTTCCTTATAGTGGATAAAAAAAAGTATAATCTATTCAAATTGAAGACTTTTCTTACATGATTGAACAACATAATAGCCTTTACAATTTAGAGACTAACTTTCATTGATATTTTTAATATTATTTAATAATGAAAATGATTTTTTATACATTATATAAGATATTAAAATGTTTTGTAATTAATTATTAATTATTTAGATAATATCTTTGTTAAAAATAATTAAATTATAAAATAATATAATGGACTAAAAATTTGTAAATTTAAACTACACAAAATTAAGGAAAAAAGGTGAAGGAGTGAGAAAAAAAGAATTTTTGACTAGTCATAATATTGTACCCTTATATTGCTGGCAAAAAAATATTGTGCTCTTATATAATTTCTTTATTAAATGCTTACTATGATCCTTCGCATAAAAACTAGTTAAAAAATTATATTTGATTTTAAATATAAAATAACAGTCTATTTTATTTATTATATTTATCAATTTTTTCAACCCAATCATAACATATAAATTTATATATAATCTAATATTATTTAAGAATATTTCGGAAAGATTGAGTTTAATATGATGTAGTAATTAACAATTTATTTTATTTTGTAATTTATTTGAATTAAGTTGAAATTGGAGGAAAATATCAACGATTTTGGATTTTTTTTTTTTTTAACCGGAACGATTTGGATGACCCACCAGGTGATATTTCTGTGTGTTTCAGAGTCAGTACTGTGAGTTTGTATGTAGTGAGGAAGCTTCCATGGTTAACCCATACCAACCAATCCTGATCGGACAGCACAATCAGAGCCACGTGGCCTGAAAATTTTGCCGACCACGAACATTTTTTGCATGCTCTTGTTTAACGTGGCAAGATGTGATTGGCTGAGTAGGTACAACACATGGGCCCATGTCTCTAAGGCTTCGGCTAGCCTTGCCAGCATGACTGGCTTCCCCTGCTATGGCAATTGTTTGTTTATTACAAAGCTTGTTTTTTCTGTGTTTTGGTTGGATTAATTTGCTTTAGATATAATAAATAAATAAATACTTTAATCAACTAAGATTTTTTTTTTGGGTTCCCTCAGATTTAAGATGACATTTCCCCAAGAAAAAAGATATGACATTGGCTGCAACCCCAATGTAATAGTTTGCCTGAAAATGTTATATTAATTCAAGTTTTTTTTAATATACGCCTGATTATATACAATAAAAGTATAAAAATGAAAAAAAATACAAAATCAATTGGCTTATTGTGCAATTTGTTTAAAATATTTTCTTAGTAATACTCAGTACTCTTAAGTATTTTTAATACACTTTTAATCTTAAAAGCATTTTCAGTAGTGATCAGCATCCTAAGATAATTTTTTAATGTGGTTTTACTTATCAAATATTTTCTCAGAATAATAAATATCCTAAACTATTTCTTGTGTAATTTTGCTCGTAAAATTTTGAATTATTGAGTGCTATTGAGGAAATATTTTAAAAATTAAATTAAATAAAAATATTTTAAAATATTAAATGCCACTAAATAGTACTTTAAAAGCATAATCACAGATTAATCCAAATCAATTTATAATGATTATAATAATCATATAATTAATTTGATGAAATCAATCAATAATTCTATGCTAGTATTAATAGCAATTGAATTATATTTAATCATATTAAGAGAAAATAGTTTTTTTTTGCCAACCAAAAAAATTTTAATATACACAGAGATTAAAAATGTTGATAAAAATATTTTCCAACTTTTTAAATCTTTTTTCACGTGTTTTGAAAATAATAACATGCAGATGTATATAATTACATACAACTTTTTTCTCTTGCTACCGAAATGACTAGCAACAGCGTGAGGCATCTATTGAAACCATATATCATGAAGCGAATATTCCTCCATTCCAAAGTTAACATAACAAATGTGCATATTTATACTTTTTGTTAGTATCTTTATACTTTTTCCTTTATGTATTTTATTTTTTTAACATTTAATGTTTATGATACTATTAATTAATCCAAATTTAATTATTGTTAAACTCAAATCAATATAAACTTTGCTGAAATAAAATTAATCGCTTCCACTTAAACAATTTTTTGTTATGATTGACTGTAACATATTATATATGTGCATACACATATGTATACACAGACAATTACAATACCAACCTAAACACAACGTATCTTGAAATTTGGATTTGTATTCATTGACAAGTTATCTCAAAATGGATCTTCTTTTTTTTGTATTTTATGTGAAAGTAAAAAGGAAGAAAAGCATAGCCCAAATGGTGAAAAGCATGAAATTAAGTGTGTATGACATTGTTGAATAATGGACATAAAGGGGGAAAACTTGGCGTTTAAGCAATCATGGTTTTCCTCAATTTTTTACGCCGATAAAGTAAAAGATTCACTTCTAACATTTTTGTGTAATGCAGCCAGTATCTTAGGCCAATCCTTATGTCACGGAAAACTCAACTAACGAGTCCTGACTAATTCTGATTCGAGACTTGACAAAAGCCATTAAAATTGGCGTCCCTGGCCCCTACGGTGCTATATTCTCATGCTTCGAACTAGAGACCCGTGGTTACGTTATGATGATTCCTATCAATTGATCCAGTCCACCGGGATTAGATTCACTCCTAACATTATATAAAAGAGAAAACACATACTACATCAGTACAAGGTATAATATGTCTATATGATGCTACTCACATAAAAATCATTTTATTAGTCTGGGTACATTAAAAGATTAAATATATTATTTAATTATAATAAATGTGATATGATCTATCGAAGCTGTTTGATAAATTTGCATGTCGAATTTTTGTGGGTATGATTGGTGTTTGAGTTCCTTCCACTAGGTGAAGGATAACAAAAATATATGGCATGATCTCCTTAAAATATTTTTGTACAATATTATATTATATATCATTTTAAAACTTATATAAATTAGTTTAGGGGATAATAATGAATATGAAAAACAAAGTAAATTTAGATATTGTATTCAGGGCTAAATCTAATTCCCCAATTAATTCTTATATTAAAGATACAAGAGAGTAAAATAGTATGTACATTTCATCTCAAATTTCCAACAAATTGGAGTGCATATAACTGAACATGTTTAGCAAGTGCTTGAAAATCCTGTGAAAAAAACACTTTTAGGTTTTATGAGACAAAATTTTCTTCACATATTTATATTGCGAGTTACCAGGTCACTTAAAACAAGTTAATTCAAATCCAACAGGTCGATAACATTTTTAATGGTTTGTTTAAAAGATAATTAAAATTAGTGTTTATGATATGAAATGATGAGGAATAATAAATTAAAAGGAGTGGGGATGAAGGGGAAGTTGCTTAAAATTAAGGAAAGGCAAAGAGAGGATTGAAGTATAAGGACAGCTTCTTCATCAACTGACATACACATTATTGGTTGTTAAGGTTGGTCACCTTATACTTCACCTTCCCTCTTGTCCCTTTCATTTCTTTTTTTTCTTCTCTTTTCATTTTTCATTTTTTTTCAAAGAACAAGAATTTAAATAATATTAAAATGAGTTGTATTATTTATCATTTATAAATGATATTCTTCCAGTCCTAAGTATAAAATTTTTTTGTAGTGTAAATTATATTACAAAAAAGATTTTATATTTAGAACCGAATGAGTACAATTTTTAACAAAAATGAATTTATGAGAAGTCAATTATTACACACCTCCAATAGTTTACCGAAAGAAAAATGCCCCGCCCACAGAGAAAAAAATCCTACCCCCGTAATTTTTTATATTTTTCATATTTTAAACATAATGGATTAATATTTTTTCTGATTTTTCACATGATTATTAAAAAAAAAAAAAAAAGGCTCCTGTGCATATTTTTATAAGAGAGCTTGTCATTTCTAGAAGCATCAGTGAGCTTATCATTTCTTATCATTTCTAGAAGCATCAGTTACTTTTTTCCTTTAAGTACCATAAAGACGTAGAGAAAGATAAGACCAAAACAATTTAATAAAATTGATAAAGGAAAAATATTTTATAAAAAAACTGAAAATATGGACATATTTAATAAAAATGAATACTTTTTTAATATGTGAAAAAGTTGTTAAATGCCTCTTATAAGAGGAAGATAGATGAGATGATATTGGCCAAAAAAAAAAAACAAAAGATAGATGAGATGACATTTATTGATATTAATGCATGCGGACAATGAATGATGTTAGTGTATGAATTTATGAGATTAGATAATTAGATAATGTTAGCTTATCTAATATTTAAAATATTTAGTTTTAAGTAATCTCTGGTTCACGTGATAAGAAAAATGCAAAAAGGAAAAGAAATATTTTTGTTATAATGTGGTACATCTAATGTATATCATTGCTGCTGTCTCCCAATCAATCAATTACTCTTTAATTGCGTGAAAATTTTTGAATAATATTTAATTTGATGTGCATTTGTATTATGTTATACAACCCTATATCTCCCTTAATGAGAAAGGCTTGCATAACATATAATATGAACTTTCTTTGCCAAATAAAGAAATCTGTTATACTCTTTTAGTCTTAAATATAATACTCATTTTATAATATAATTTATATTTTAAAATAAACTTTGTATTTAGAATTAAAAGTTCAAACTCACAACTTTACATTTAAAAATGTTTTAAAAAAGGTATCCAGTGTTAGTTAGGCTCTGCTTGATCCGGTAATAACTTTAATTTATATCTTATGAATAAATAATATAATTTGGGTCCCGTTTACATTATACTATCTTTGTTCGTTAATATAAGAGCTAGTTTGATTTTCAATTAGATTTTAAGTATAAAACCTCAATTCACTTTGTCCATCATATTTATTCTTTTTTTCAAGATACCCCTTTCAGTAGTTGCATAAGTTAAATATTTCATCAAATAACGCTCGATTAGTAAGGATATTTTAAAAAAGACAATACTTATTTATTACAAATAACTAATTTAATTAATTTTTTTAATCTACTCAAATTAGTAAACTAGTTCTTATATTATCTTCAGTCCTAATTATAAGATCACATTTAAAATTAGAACTAGAGGTAATATTAAGCAGCGTGGGTAGCATATCAACTAATTAAAATGAAATTAATGGCTACTTTGACATAAAGTAATTGGGAAATGGATAAGTTTAAGGTTGTTAAGCCGTGTTGGTGGAACATCAGAGTAGGTGGCCAACTTAATTAATTGGCTATGAATATACATATAGCAGCCAATGTATATATAGTCACTTTGAACATTTTTGACTTATTTGTCAAACTCTTGCGCTCTTATTGTCAATCCCCCTTAATTAATTAATTATAACACCATCATATTTACTCAAAATTTTATGAAATATTTTTTTTGAATATATTTTAATTAATCTTACCTCAAGTAGCCATTTTCTTATTTTTGACTTAAGAGTGTTTTACCCTTTGAATAAAAATAATCATATGAGCACCACTGATAACAGGATCATATTATTTATAAATTTTATAAATAGTTTCAGTTTTCAACAACAATTGAGCGGAATGGAAATAGTTCAATATTGTTTAACATGATATCTCGAATTTCAATTTCATAAAAATCATTACATAAAAGATTTTCAATTATTCATTATTTGAGCCCACTACGATTCAATCCAAATAAATGGATTATATCACATAACATAACTATTTCTGGTAACTCTTTCCTGGACAAAAAAATTGCATTAATTGTTTTTTGTAACAATAAAAATTATCCTCTGTTCATGAGCCAGTCTCGTTTATTTCCATTTTGCTTAGGTGTCTTCTTTCTATATTTGGGCCATTATATTGGATCGAGACCCAGCATCCAAGCCCATGAGCCCATGTTGAAGCCCATTGTCTCCAAAAATAGTTTTTGGTCAAGTTTAAGGGGGAAAAAAAATTCCCACACGCTCGGTACCACGAGCTTGGCTTCTTACTAATCTGTTCTTCATGTGTTGTTCTTCCGCGAAGACCGAAGAGAAATGAAGCAACTGGAAGCTATCCAGAACACGCTACCTGAAGATGTTGCCCTCAAAATTGCTTCGATGCTTTCGGTGTGATTTTATACGCACCATAGCATAGATAACTTCCGATTATTTTTTTTTTATTATTTGTTTTCCAATTTGTTTGATTCCTTGGTTTTGTGCGAGAAGGTACGAGATTTGTGCGCGTTGGGCTGTTGCTCAAGGTTTTGGAGGGAACTTTGTGGCTCAGATTGTATCTGGGAGTCTTTAACTAGAGAAAGATGGCCTTCTCTGTCATCTTCTTCCACTCCTCCCAATGCTCCCAATCTCAAGGTATCCCCAATTTCTCTCCTTTCCCCACCTTTTTTTTTTTTTTTTTTTAAATGGGTGATCCAGTTATCTGCTTTTAGCTTCTGAATTGAGGCGGTGTGTAACATTTGATCATCAAGACTTCAACATCCTCAAATTATTCGATTTTCATTTTAATGACTTCTATTGACTTATAGACTATACCCAAGGTCCTTTTCCCTGCTTCTGCTGAGCTTAGAAGGTAAGTAATTATCATTGTGTTAATGTCTTAATCATGTTCTCGTGTATGGAAGAAATTAACATGCTTCGCACCGTTTTGTCTGGAGTAAGCTACTAACTTGCCCCCTAATTGTTAGATCAGTTTACCTTTCATAAAGTTATTAGTCCATGGAGCTTGTTATTTTCACAGATAAATTCATTCACTAATTAATTACACAGACTCAAGCTCAATGGGATTAATTATCGAGGGTATAAATCTTTAATGTACTCATTTTTTTTTTCCTGTGACTCTTGGCATATTTGATATTGGGCCTATTTTATTATTTATTTACTTGGAAATTGGGTTACAGGAATGGAGGAAACTGTACATCGTGAAGCACAATGAGGTGGCAGTTAGAGCAGCAGCTGCTGCCAAGTTTGTGGAAGAGAGCTCACCCTCTAAATCACTAGAGGTTGGGGACTATCTGAAAGCAATTAACTGATTGGATGATATGAAGCTTAGCTTCAAAGATGTCCAGATGTGCCTTTTCAGAACTAAACTGAACGTGTTGATTAACTTGGTTGGCCTACACTATTGCCTCACTTGGCTTAGAATTCCGGTATTCCCATAATGTCCACCACTACAGTGATTATTTTACACGCAGTTCAGCTAATCAAACTTCTTTCTTGTTCTTGTTGTTTCATCATAATTAATGTCTCACTTTCTGCCAACTAGCATTTATCATGATTCACGGTGTGTAAGTAGTATCCAGGATGAAGTTGTTTTTCCTGAAAACTCTGGGCACAATTGTTGATCTACCATAGTTTATTCCTTTAATATGATTTCCTCTAGGCTGAAAGAGCATGTCTTGAAACCTAATACCTTTTGTTTTATCAACTTTTTTTTTAATTAGCCTTAAACGTAAATATTTTCTGCAGATTTGACATCTTAAACTAACTTTTTGTGGTCACTTTATGTAGCTATACAGAGTAATACAGCATGGAGTATTAAAAAAACAAAAAGATAGTTACGTAAAATTGCTTCTAGACAGCTAGGACTTGAACGGTTAGCACATGATACTATGAATATACTTGAATTGTTGCCTCTGTATTATCCTGTAGTTGCATATGTTATCATTGATACTTTGATAGATGCAAACATAAGAGCAGCCTAGCATGAACGAAAATATCTTTACTGTTTCTTGTTGATCCTGGTAGTACATTCATTCTTTCTAGTCGCTGCTTGGTTATTCTTGCTGTGATAGTACCACACGGCTTATGCTTGTATATATGATAGTGAAGCAACGTATGTTTTACCTGAGTAAGTATTAATTGGGGACGGGTTGAGGGTTTGTTTCGTGGGTCTTGTATCGTAATGATGTTTGTTAATTTCATAATCAAAATACCCTATCTAATATTTATTCTCATTATACTATTGAGGACCAATTTTAATTTAATAAATGAACTTGTGCCTTTTCATTCTTCATTTGTTTCTTGTTCATGGCTATTTGAAATCTTATCTCAATTAAATTGAATATCCTTTGGTAACTTTTATGAAGCACTATGATATTTTGTTAATGCTTAAATCAATTATGGCAAAGACGTGCAAGCTTACTTCCAACTTTTCATTTACTAGGGAGCAAGATAACTGGTTATCCAACTTCATCTAACTCACTATGCCCTTTGTCTTTGTTTACAAGTTTTCATCATGAAGAACTTCCAAAAGAAGATCAACTTAGGAGATCTCCTGTAGATATTATTTCTCTTTTATCTGCTTATCTCTTTTGTTTGAAATTCATTCCTCTTCTTTATGGCCTTATACCTGAATGTTTCTTCAGAAAAAGTGAAGGAGGATAAAGTGGAATCCCAATCAATATTATATATTTCCAGTTCTTTTTCTCTCTTTTGCCCTTCTTAAAATTGTCACTAGGTACTGCTGTGCATCCAATGTTTAATTATAATGATGCGTCCCTTATAAATATGTGCCCTTAAATATGGGGCCATGAACCAGGTAGCCAAGATTAAATTATATAGATGCTTTTCATGGTATAGATACAAAGGACAAAACTGAAGTAATTTTTTTGGGAATTTGTTATCAGGTTCTGTGATGAAGACGTGACTGGATTTTTTATTTTTTATTTTTAATAATTCAGCGCATCTCTCAATAAAATTCTCCCACATGTTGGGCACCTTATATATAGAAAACACCAAATAAACTTAACCTTAGTCTTATCCGTATATAAATTGATTTTTCCATTCTTCATTAGACAGATATCAAGCTACTACTGCAAAAAACGTGCGTAGAGAAGCATAGTGTTGCCCTAACCTTGTTAAAGAACCGGATGAAGAATCTAAATGTAAATCTTTAATGATGTTATTGTTCACTTTTTTGGTATACAATCACCTCTCGTGGCAGGGTGATAAGCTCAAAGAAGCCCTTCAGGCGAGTGAGATTGCTGAGCGGCATGTGTGCATCAAGTGGTGGAAGCTTGGCAGATGGTTCTATGGCTTCCGGATGAGGGATGAATCCCATTCCCAATGGGTTTCGTTAGCTGATTTGGTGATTGATGATGGACGCCTTCTGGCATTGCTTCGCCGAGGTGCAATTCACGAGGTTTTACGTGTTCAGATATCCGGGGAAGATCACCACACAACTCCTTGGTCCACCCAGATCACCCACGGACACGACTAGGGATGCTTATTTCCATAATCCTTGTGATGCTAATAGACGTATAGTGTTTATCACAACAGAGCAATATGTTTGTTCTGTCATATATTTATGCTTAGGATCAGACTTCTAATGCATGTATACTATAAGTATCACCATAGTATCAATCTATCTAGTTGCAGAATTGTTGGTTGTTGTTCTGCTTGGACACTATTTGTAAGATCAGGGACACTGAACTCGCAAGCAATAAAATTATCCATGTAAATATGTTCAGATTCGGAAAGAACTTAGGAAGCAATTGGCCTGTGACTGTCATTCTGATATTTCTTTTGAATTAGTAGCAACTCAAAGGCCAAAACCTTAAAAACTCTACGAACAGAACCACCTCCACTCTTCTTTCTCTGCTAATGCTGTGAAAAACACAGCATTTAGGAAGAGGACCTTCACACTTATATCGATTATGGAGGTGTTTGGATAAAAACCAAACCATGGTTTCAAAAGTGTTTTTACGGTTTACGAAGTAAATATGTGGAGGAGTTTGTCTTGTTTTGCGGAAAGTGCTTCTGAGAAACACTTTTGAGGGTTGCCAAACACCTCCTATAATAGGTCTTATTATACTAATTAAAGTCAGCCACATAGCAAGTATGTGGAAAATATGAATGACAAAGTCTGTTTCTGATACAAATAGAATAATTACAGATCATTTACAACACAAAATAGAATGCAAATTACAAAAGTGGTCACAGGAGAATAGATAACTATCATTTACACAAATAATGAACACCCGGGAGGGAACAAGTGTTTGGAAACTTATTATTATGATACACACTGAATGACTTGGTGAATCCAAGAAGGAGGCACCCTAACACACAAACACATATAACTGAGTCTGATGCATTATCATGATCATGATCTACTGGGGAATTCGGCTGTGAAGTGAGGAGGCTGAAAGCCAGACAAGGAAGACGGCGATGACACTGCCGAACAAAGCGACGGCCAAGGAGCCAGCAAGATGTCTGCAGTATTTGTCATACACATTGCACACTTCATTCCAATTCACATGGTCGTTTCCCTTTAGAGCCACATATGCCACTCCCCCTGCTGTCCCTGTTGCTGAGGCTACTATCCCCAGTATCAGCTGCAATGCCAAATCATAGTTTTATCATATGGTTCCGATTCAATTATCATAGCAACAACTAATCAAGAATGAAGTGATTTTGCATTACACGAGTTAAATATATGAGATGAGTTTTGTTTTGTAAACCCAAAAACACTTATTTTGACATGATCCAAACAGCTACCTTCTTCTTCGGCTAAGGGTTCTTCATTTTTTTTGTCCAGAAAGAAATTCAATTACAGGTTCTTTTATATGGATACAAATTAAAGAAAATGCTGAAGAAAGAAAAAACGAATGTTTGATTGGTTGGTGAACTTACCGCGTCCCAGAATATGAAGTGGAGGAGGAACTTGAGTTTGAGATCAGGTCTGGGCATGACTGAGATTGATGCAAGAGCGGTGAGGATGCTATAAAGCCCAGCAACAGAGAACGCCGTCACGAAATATCTGCATCATCATCGTATCTAATCTCAGTTTGAGAATTTTCAATCTTTGAAAGAAATTAAAATATAATGAAATGTACGTATGGGAAGATTTTGACGTTTAAATTTTTGAATAAAAATTGTGAGCCAAGAGTTTTGGCGTATTCTAAAAGAAATATGATATATTTGTCGTATGTTTCAGTAGAATACAGGTAAAAAAGATAAGACAAAATTAATGAATAATGATATTCGCATAGCTAGGAAGCACAGAGGTAGGTGGTTTTTTATTTTTAAACCAGAAGCATCTTCTATGAGGGGATAAAAAAACACCATATATATTCTTTTCTCCAGTAGGTTCTCTCAGTTAATATATGTTAAATACTAAAAACAAAACAAAATCCTTTAATTTAGAAGAGGACGCAATCTGTTGGCCAAAGACGAAGAGGAAGCAATCTATTCTAAAAAAGCTGTCTTTGGATTCTTCACAAGTCCTATGATACCCCTTCTGGTTGCTGAAACATGCGAATCTACCACTGTTTTTGTCATTTACTACTATTGAGGGGGAAAAGAAAGGTTGACAGAAAGAAGAGGGGGGGGGGGAGACAAAGCCTCATCAACTTTGTCTTGGATCTTAACTATAGTTTCAGACAAATGAAAATTAAGATTGGCATGCTTCTTGAATCCCACGTTTTAAGAGATAGTCCCACCAAATCAACTTCAGATCTCTGCAAACGAAACTAGCCATATCCCAAGAAAACTAAATTCCTCATTTAATACTTTCCACCTTACTCACAGAAGTTTTTTCAGTATATAGAAGTTACTGGATTTTATATGAAAGGTTCGATGTTAAGGAGTTGGTAAGCTTAAAAATTAACCCAAAAAGAATCAGACGCATATATTTGTATGATTAACCTTTTTTCACAACTGAGAGACATCTGATACATACACAGAGAGAGAGACGTAAATAAGTGAAAGAGATGAGAAGAAGAAGGAGGAGGAGGAGGAGGAGCTTGCTCACATGTAGGCAGAAGAGTATTTGAACTTAGCAGGCCTAGGCACAGTACCAGGAGGGCCTCCTGGTAGAGAAGGCATAAGCTCTGTTTGCTGCTGGTGACCATAACCACAATCGCCACCAAAGACGACGCAAACAGAAGAAACCTCAGAGCTACGTCCACCTGAAAGTAGTCGATGATGGTGACCGGAGGAGGAGGCGGTGGCGGCTCAGACCTGTATTCAGGGTCGGCAGGCTTTTCTGTGGCAGAAGCCATGGCTAGTGAGCTTGTTGGTGCGGGAGAGTAGCAGCACTTGAACGGGCAATGATTTATTAGCGTGGGAAGCTATACATATATATATATATATATATATATATTGCATGTATATATTTTGATATATGTAGAGAGAGACAGGGTAGGGAGACAAAAGGGGCGGAAGAAAGGAGGAGTTTCCTGTACGACAAGTGACAAGCGTGTGGGTTTGAACATTGGCTTGTTGGTTGATCCTTATTAGATAAGCCTTGCAGCTAACATTCCTTCTAAATCTTTCCTATTTTCACGTCGTAAATATTTATGGAGGAGATTTTGTCAAAGCTGATGCATGATTAAGCATTAACTATGAACAACGTTATTATTCAAATTTTAGTTCACAACCTTGCAAAGAAGCAGCGATTACCTTGTTCTACTAAATTGGCTCATTAGATTGTTAATATATAGGTGTCTTTTTTAAGTTTATGAAAAGTGAATTTACGGGGGTGTTTGGATGAAACCAAACTATGGTTTTTAAAAGTGTTTTATGGTTTACGAAATAAATATGTAGAGGAGTTTGCCTTGTTTTACGGAAAAATACTTTGAGAAGCACTTTTCAGATTGCTAACACTCGTTACGTCGTACTAAACAGATTTACTGAGTTGAATTTGTTTTTTTTCCCTTACGAAGCCTTACACAACATCATTTTAAGTTTAACGAAAACATAATTGTCCATTAGATTTAGATGTATATATGCTTTAATAAATATGATATGTTGGATTTTATGTGGTTTGTACATATGATCTTAAGCTTGCGAGCAGTGAGTTCATGTATTTTTATTTAAATATTAGAGCACTTTTTTAAGGATTATATATATATATATATATATATATAAGGAGTTTAAAATGTTATAAATAAAGAGAGGCAATAAAAGAGTAAGAATTTAGTTGCGGTTGTTGTTGAGGTTGTCGTCGTTATTACTATTCCTATTAATAATATCAGTATTAAGATTAATATTATAATTAGTGTTAATTACTTAAGATAATTAATTATATTGAATGATTGTTGGGGTAAGAATGGGACTATAGGTAAATTATATTAAATCCATCATCAGTTGCCATGATGCATAGCGTTTATATAAAATTAATATTTAGTGCACAATGGAATAATTCCTGACAAAACTTTGGAATTATGTTTTGACAAAAAAAATTCTTATATAAGTAAATTTTATTCTAATATACCTTCCGGCCTACCAAAAAAAATTCTCATTTAGAATTTCACCTTTTGAAAATATAGAACAAAAAATTTAAATACCAATTCTAAGAAAATATCAATATTTTAGTTATAGGTTTGATGCATTTAATTTATAAATTTAGTTAAAAAAATATTCATGTTTGGGTCTAAATTGATTGAAAAGCAATATTATTGACCTTTTTTTTTGGGGCCAACCGGAAACGCTATTGATTTTTTTTTGGCCAACAAAATGGTATTGATTTGTTGGCAAAAATTGTTTTTTTTTTTTATTGATTTTAAATTAGGAGTTTGAATTTTGTGAACGCTATTTAATAAGCTCTACAGTCCACCCTATTTATTTCACGTGATTTTATTATTGCAGGAAAAGATGTTTCATAGTTACTATTTATTTTGGCCACACAAAAAAGTTACTGTGTATTTAAATTTAATAAATAGTTAATTTAATAGGAGAATTAATTACCGGTAATTAGTGAACTGGGTGGAGGAATCAAGTGGGTAAATGGATTTGTTTTTCCAGATTGCAATGATAGAAGTGTCGAATCAAATTAATTTAATAATCAATAAATTAAATTTCAAACCCTTTTACACTAAAAATATTCATAATCAAGGGGAATAATCAAGAATGATCTTGACTCTAGACCATGTAGTGTGTGTATATTGGCTCCACTCGAATTACCTTTGCTTGTACAATTTTATTATTACTACTATTATTTTCAATATAAAAAATTAATAACAAAAGGTACTCCAAGATTTAATTCCAAAAGTTCTCAATGGTATGGTGAGATTCATTTTTTTTAATTCATGCTATTTAGAATCAGTTTGAATTCTTGGAGATTTTTTTTTGGTCCAATGAATTCTTTTTTTTTAAAAAAATATGCATAGGTAGGTATTTTCTTATTAAAGACAATCCTACTTGAGGCACTATCGTCACTAGACGTGGATACCTCTCCCAACTACGTAAGGATTTAAGGTATAATTTTGAATAAGGTTCATGTAGATTTTAAATATATATATAATTTCCTCATAAATTAATCTAAAAATCGAGGATGTAATTGCAACAGGAATAGTTTTAGCCGCCTAATTTAAAGTGTAAATTTTCTTAAAACGAAATAAATGGAAAGAAGCTGAATTACACAGAGGTAAGTGGAAGTATTTTGGGCGAGAAGATGACCGGAGGAGAAAATATTGATATATATAAAATAAACTTTCATGCAACTCAAGGATAAATAATTGTAAATATTATTGACAAGTTATTAATTGAGATGGTAAGCAATTTTATTTTTATAAGGAGAAAAATACATATTCAAATTTCGGGAAGCACACTTTATATTGTCGAAAGGACTTTAACCTTAATGTTTCTGATATGACAGAGATTATTCTGAAACTTAAAGTGGTTTAATGATACTATGATTTATACCAAATAAAAAAATAATTGTAAATATTGTTTTAAACGCTTTGAGCCGTGATATTTTTCGTAATTTTGGTGAACTTTGAAGCAAATTGGGGATTCTATCTCTCTATTCCAATTAGAATTTAAACCCAACAAAAAAGCATGAATTTAATATACATATTTTCCTTAATCAAATCCCACTTTATTAAAATAATGGGACCTACTAGAAAGAATCCTATAATGTATGCATATTCAATCATTCGTATATAGGCGGCCTACTTTTTTCTTTTTTCATTTGTTAATTAATTTTTAATATGTTAAGTAGGCCACCTTTCAATATTTGTGAAAAATAAAGGAATAGGTGGCACCTACCATTCTTTTTCAATATTTGTCTCGTCATGAAGCTTCACGAAGAACAAATCAGAATCAGCACACAATTATATACACAGTTTTTTTTTTAATTAAAAGAGAGTTTCTATATATATATATATATATATATATATATAAAGCGCGAGATACCTTTAAAATAGAGCAAGGAAATAACAAATCAGACTCTTTCAAAAATTATAAAAATCAAACAAAATAAACAAAAAAAAAATTTCTCTTAAATAATAGATTATAATGAAGAGGAGCGTATCAGGCTTAATTAATCTATTTTCACTGTTTTCACCCTAATATTATTTGATGAACATTTGGTCGACATTTCATATTGGAAATAAGATTTATTTTTTATCCAGTTATACAAAATCTCATATCACATTCTCATGTTGAAAATATGGGTCTTATTAGGATTTAGGAGCAGTTCTCTATGAGTAATTTTTTTCACTAATGGTATTCAAACATTTTACACATTCTACATTTAATGTCAGAGTGGAGAAAATAAGTTACATCCACTAAAATAAATAAATAAATAAAGGGTAAAGATGTAATTTTATTTCTTATCTCATTTTTTTAGGTGTACCAAAATAAAGGTTACGAGTAAAATTTGACCACTAAAAAAATCAGGAGATGTTGAGTGTACTTAAAAAATAAGCTCAAGAATAAATTTGCTCTTTCATCCAATCATCCATAAATAAAAATAAATAAATGAATGAATAGATAAATGAAATGGATAGTTACACGCAAAGCAATTGAATGTAGCATGGACAAAGAAACCAAATGGGGAATATGCATACAAAAAATAAGTAAAATCTTTTAAGAGAATTATATTATTTGAAGTTACAAGACTGGGCATTTAAAATTATATACTTTTCTGATCTTATTTATAAGTCACTTCCAACATGTTTCATACAGATCAAAAAAAATTTTAAACTTCATTAACTTTCATTTAAAATTCAATAATTTTTTAACTTTATCCCTATTTAATATACGTTATACTTTATGTAAATAGAGTCAACACAGTAATGAATGAAAGATAAAATTATACATTAATACAAAAAACTTCTCTTAGTGCCTTATAAATAAAACTAAAAAATATCTTATCTCTTTATCTTATAAATAGGATTCGAAGAGTATATTTTAAAAAACTCAATCATGAATTTAATTCATATTATTAAACATCAGATAACATGATAAAGCTACTTATGCATGTGTGGGTCTATTAACCATGATGTATACATATAGATATAGAGAGAGAGAAGGGGGGAGGGGGTTATTGCGGAAAGTGATGGGCGTAGTCAAATGCGTGATCAAGCTTAACAGGAAATTTAAGGGGTTTGGTTGGCTTGTCAAGTGTTCGATTATCCACAACCTTGTACATTTGGATTATACTATATATATATATATATATATATATATATATAATACTAGTTATTAACATAAGATTTCATTTGACTTTTATTTTGTTCTAAATATAAGATCCTAATTCACTTTGTCCCTCATATTTATATTTTTTTTCCGAGATAATCCTTCTAATAATAGTAGTTCTAACCAATAAACTTAATTAGCAAGGATATTCTAGAAAAAATAATACTCCTCCGGTCCTTAATATAGGACTTAATTGTTGAGTTAATTTGATCTAAATATAAGACTCATTTCTCATATTTATCAATTTTCTCTAAATTATCCATATGGATACTTCCTCAACCATAATCAAGTAGAAGAGGGAGAGAGGTATTAAGAAAGATGATTATGGTGTTTTAGGAAAAATGTGTCACATTTCTTATAATTAACTAACTTATCTAACTTCCTTAATCTAATCAAATTAGTTAAATGGGTCTTATATTAAGGATCGGAGGAGTACTTATTTATTATAAATAATTAAATTAATGTATTTTCTTAATCTACTCAAATTATCTAACTAGCTTTTATATTTCGGACAGGAGGTATAGTATATATATAAAAGATTTTTTTCCTAAATGCACAAATAAAAAATTAGTTAAAAACATAGAGAGATATTCTTATTCATGCTATTCGTTTCTCTCCATCAAGAAAAACTCCAAAGTCCTTTCACCTTCATTAAAAAAAAAATAAAAAAATATATTGAATTTTGAAAAGATTTAAATTTTATTTCTAGTGGGAAGCAGCTGGATCTGCACTTCACCTTTCACTTTCACCAATCATGTACTACTGTAAATTCCGTGAAGAAATTATATAGTGGAAGTTGACACTTAAAAATTAGTTACTCCTCCGGTTTTAAATATAAGACTTCTTTCGTAATGTAATTTACACTACGAAATGGGTTTTATATTTAAAACCGGAAGAGTATTACATTATGAATGATATCTCACGTGAATATTTCAAATTATTGGAAACTAAACAGGCCAGTGAACTTATCGGCATGATAGTTTTGGGGTTGGAGGCTGAATGGGGATTATGATTAAAATAATATATTTTAATTAAAATATATAAATGTATAACTTTGAAAAAATTACGATTCATTGAAGCTGGCAAAAAGGAAAAAAAATTATGATTCAAACTTGTGTAATTGGGTTGGACATACATGAATGAGCCCGTAAGCCCACGTTCGTGGTCAAGCCCATATTCACGAGAAATAAGACAAAATTCAAATTTTATTGCCAGTGTAATTTCATCACTAACTTAAATTGTGAGTTCAAATCTCATTTGCTAGGTGAATAGTATCTTATTCATAGATGATTTATAAGAGGGTGTTTGGATTGAAGTCAAACAATAGTTTTAAAAGTACTTTTACGGTTTACGAAATAGATATGTAGAGGAGTTTGTCTCGTTTTGCAGAAAAGTGCTTTTAGAAAGTGTTTTTGGACAATAACCAAACACCTCTAAGTATCTCTATAAACAATTTAAATATAGATTACATTGTTTAAATCATATTAGTTGAGTCTTTTAGCTCAATAACATTAAGTATCTTCTTTAAGTGTGAAATTACGAGTTGGATCTTTAATAAACATGATAGGTATCAAACAACCAAAGGTCCCGAGTTCTAATCTGAATTCAAATCAACCAATACAATAACATTTGCGAGATCCTAAGATACTATTCAGTACGAGAGAAATGGAAGGGAGGGAAGGGAAAGGAAAATTTTAATGAGCTCTGTTTAAAAAATTGAAGAAGTGAGCTTTTGGAATTTTATTAAAGAGAAGAAGTAATATAAAAGAATAATAAAAATTAATTAAAAATGTTTAACTTCATTTTTTAAGTTTTTTAAAACCGAGTTTATTAAAATTTTTCTTGGACTCCTCTTCTCTCATTTTCCCTCGTACCAAACGGACCCTAAAAAAAGAATATATTTATCATAAAATCACACAAATAAGCAATATGCAATAACATAGTACGAGTATTTCGCTATAAGAAATAAAAATAAGTCCATGTTATGATATTTTTAGTGATTATTTTTCTTAATTAGAATCTCGGTTATTTCACCAAACATGTATGGAGAAAAGTTATTTAAAAAAATTGCAGAGAACAATACAAAATCAAATTTCCAGAATCGTAGCCAAACTACTCACATATAGCCCCTTTCATGGCGGGTGCTATTTCTGCACACGCGCGCGCGCACAACTTCCAATGATGAGTTTCTCTAACAGCTTCTGAAACCAACATTCACAAATCAACCCACCCTTTCTCTCTCATCATTCCAAAACCGTTTGGTTATATACATGTATTTGTGTGTGTACATATACACTCACACTGAGGCGAAAGCGTACTCATCTGCATAATCGTTTTCCCCTCACTGCCATGGAACGTCTCAGAACTGACTCTGTTAGGCCATTAAAATTGCTCGCTCAACTTCCGCCTCCGTCTGATGAGCCTGTTGTTGCAGTGGCCAAGGCGGGGAGAATCTCCGGCAAGCGTAGTAGACAAAGAGGTCTAGAGAGGAGCGAGGGCCTTGAGATTGAGCGCGATCGAAGGTTGAAGATGAATCATATGTTTGCTGAGCTTCAATCTACCGTTCCTGGTCTCTTTTCCAAGGTTCGTTATATAAATAACGGGTTCTCGATTTTGTCTTCTTCTACTTTTGGATCCTCGATCTTCGTTTTTACTACTGATGAAGTTCTCCGCTCTGGTACATTCTGTTTATCTCTGTAAATCAATCTCATAGTGATTGATCTTCTGTTTCTTCATTGTTTCGGATTCTAGGCAATGTTCAGTTAATACGTGGGTCCTTTTGAATTTACGCTTCACTTCATTTCGATGATTCTTCTATTTGTGAATCTGTCTAATCGGTTTTGTGCTTTTGTTTTGAACGTCAATGGATAACAAAGGTGTTTTTCCACTGTCTTAAACAATCTGATCAACTAATGAGATGTGTCCCCCCCCCCCTTTTTTCTAATTTACACCTATGGTCATTCTCCTATTTGTTAATTCTCATGTAGAATCACACTCCTATGATGTAAAATCACAGTCTGAAAATCACGAGCTTCGTGAGTCTTCTGGGTTTTCAATGTTCTAGAATTCATACCCTATTTGGGTTTCTTTAAATTTGTATTGAGCATTTAAATTGCTTTTGGGAATCCAGGGCTTCATTTAATTCAGCAATGAGCGCGGTTCTGGTTTCTGACTCCCCATCTTCACTGAAAATTATATCGCGCGTTTACATCCTCTTCAACGGTCTTTGAATTTTTACTTTCAGGCTACAAGGGAAATGATCGTAAACGAAACAATAAACTATATCAAGGACCTTGAGAAGAAGATGAAAAGATTAGAAGAGCTTAAGGGGTTAATAATGGAACCAGAAGCGTCTGGAGGGAAGTTAATGCTTCCATGTACAGGCAATAAGAATTCCTCCATTACAGTTTCTGTATCTGGAAATATTGCCTTCTTTGGGATTCAATCAAAAGCTCAATTTGGTTTAATCACAGTGATCTTCAAGGTGTTCTACAAGCACAATGCTGAAATTTTGGCTGCAAATGTTTCTGTCAACAACGGAGAATTGACATTGGCAATCACAGCTTCATTAGTTCATGATGGTCATAATGATGGAAATGTTGCCGCTGAGAAAATCAAGAGAGAGATTCTGGGTCTCTAGATTCAAGGTTTGCTTGTTTTTTGATTTTTCAATACATTATACATAGAGAAAAATCAATACTGGGGTTTCAGGGTGGAGAGACAAATAACCCTCAAGCAGAGAGGAAGCAGAGATAAACATTAAATTTTTTTATTTTGGGCAGAAACATGAAAAATTATTATATTACTCTCACAGAAAAGCAACAAATTTTTTTCCCACTTTGTACCAGAATTTATATATGCAATGAACCAATGGTGGCCGTCTCCTGTCTTATTGTCGTTCTTTTGGCTGCTAGGTTATAATCTTTTTAGGAATAATTGTTAGAAAGCCAAGACCATTCCAGTTTTCCAGTATGAACGTTAGATTATAACTTTTTGTTTCTTTTATTATAGGAAAAACAACTTTTCTAAAGTTACTCTAATAGGGAAACTCTGTAAGCCGTATAATGTGGAAGGAGAATCCTATAGGAAAGAATTGGAGAAATTACATTGTTTGACAATGAATATGTTAAATATCTTTAAAAAAGAATATATTAATTGTTATTATGATGATTATGACAAGTGAAAACAAAATTTATGACAAAACACATCGGATGGGTGTAATTTAATTCAGTTCTTCTTTTTTAAGTTCAAACTACATGAAAGCATTGCAACGTTTGTATATTAGTTTTATATTTAAACTTTAACTTAACAAGGTAAAATGAAATCTTTTAAATTTTAAATTGTTGGAGGCCCCTACATTGCATAGAGTTTGGAAAATAAATTACACCATTCCTAACTCATAAATTACATGTTATTGTTTTTTCCCCCCCTATAACTTACACTTAAGAGAGCTTTAAAAGGGGTACTTGGTGTCAGTAATATTAGAGTTTGTATATTATAAATGTTGTGATCCTGAATGCTTCTTTGGATACTTTTGATTGCAACGAAGTCCAAATTAGTTTGTACGAACCTCAATCAAGTCAAAGATAATTCATTCAAGTAAGAACTAAATGTATTCACGGGCAGTAATTTTTAAATGCAATTTAGTAGATGTTAAATGTTCATTTTTCACTACTAAACCAACCTATTGGTATGTTTGGTATATGTCAACAAATCAATACCTCTCAATTTTAACGTGCTTAAATGCTCCCATCTAATTATTTTATATCTAGTCCTTCCTCACACCGTACACAGTTGAAAATTAGGGGGGAATTTAATAAACATACACTTACCAAGGTCTTAATTGGTACTCCAGTTTTAGCGCAAGTGAATCACACGAATTACAAATTTTAAGTAACATTCATAATAATAGAAGAACAATAACAGAAGAGAATAGTCAAAGTCCGGCTTGGTTATTATTATTTAAAAAAAAAAAAGATATCAAAATAACGAATAAAAATATTCTATAGGAAAAACTATAAGTAGATTCAAGCTTAATATCTAGAGATATACTGCTTTGACTAGCAAAGGTCCTCTCAGGAACAGAGCATGACAAAGACAAAAGATAACAAACTGCTATCACAATTTACAGCCATAATGAATAGCGATTGGCCACATGCCTTGCATTGTGTTGATTACATCCAATGGCAAAACACAAGCATCATTATCATCCAAATATCATAAATACATCATCATTAACAAGTACAATTACTGGCAATTCACCATGAGGATAAAGTGTTTCCCCCCTTAGCACCATAAACGCAATTCATTCACTCCATATCCAGGCAAGGACATTAATTGAATCAGAGCAATCTACAACAATGGGGATGGATGTAATAACTTGAAGAAGAACATAGTGGTCATTGAGGAAGAACAGGAGGAGCAATTGTACGAGTATTATATGATCTGCAGTGACCGCATTTTTGCCCAACTATGTGGAAGTAAACTTCAGTTGTGTCATTGCAGTCATTGCATAGTATCCAAACCTGCATTATTCCGTAATAAGTATTGCCTAGTTTTATTGATATATCAATACATATGTAATATGCCATGCTATTCAAAATCATGAAACGGACAATTCATTCCTTAAACTCTACTATAGAACGCACAGAAAAATATGTCTAATTCAAGTAAATTATGCACACTAGCCCTTTCAGAAGTTCTCAGATACCTGAAAGAATAATCGTATACAATACACAGTGTGCCTAACTGCGTATCACATGCTCGCTTCAGCCAAGAGGCAAATCTCATGGGTGTGGAAATTTACATGCGTGGTCTGACATGGGCGGCGGATCATGGTCACGTACTATACAAGTTTTAAGGTCATGCATCTTTTCTTATCTTATTTACACTAATTCTGCACGGTTATTCTGCTCACTGCTGGACTGGGGAAATCTAAAATAAATGGAAAAGGACAGCGGAATGGAGAAAAACAGAAGTGGACGGTGGATATATATTCAAAGAATATATTTTACCTTCCTGTCCCGATAATCTTCAGGCATGACTGTTTCTTCAATCTGATATTAGCATAAATGAAGCAGTAATGAGACAGTGACATCATAATTGAAGTATGATATTTCTGTAATATTCTTGACAAAATAAGTGCATCCTAAATGCCAAAAAATGACTACATCTGGAAAATTTAAAGCCCGAGTATAATTTATATATAATCTCCATCACATTCTTTCACATCGAACTTGAAATAGTCACTGATCTTGCCATCTCGGGTTTTCTGAGTTGAAATGGGTCCTTCAACGCAACCAAAGCATGCAAATCGGGCAAAAGCATCTACAGAATTTGACATAAGAGGTTACCTCTTCATCCATTCTCTTCCATGTACTGGACATATCCACCACTGACTTGGAGCATATGGGGCAACAATACCTGGAACATGAGATCAAATCAAGTTCATATTAACGGAGAAATTATGTTTTACAGAACGAGCACTTCTCAAATAAGTAATATACTCACTTGAAACGCTTTATCATCTCTTGGTAACACTCACAATGCATTGTGTGACCACATTTCATTACAGTAGTGTCTTTCAATGAATCAAAAAGGTACTGCACAAACAGGATAAAGTCACAACAGAATATTGTCAATTTCCACCTCAAGATACAAAGGAATTCCCCCCCTGATTAGAAACTTGAGCTATGGAAAGTGGGAAAGAGGCACACACCTCATAACAAATTGGACAGTGATGCCTCATAGAGTTCTCTATACAAGAATGATTATCACGCAGGCCAATCGAATAACAGGACCCTACAGCATAAAAACCATTTTTTATACAGAAACCCCCAACAGGAATGTGTGCAATAAGCAATTTACTTCAATAATGAGTCCCCCCCCCCCCATCTATTAAGCCGTGCACATATTAATGGACTCTAACCATAAAAATATTAGAAACTCCGAATCAGTTTTTGCCCCCTCAATCTTGTATAACATACAATGATTTGTGAGCTTACGGGTGTTGAAACAAAAGAATGCCTCTTCATGAGTTTTTGTCCCCTAGACTGACTGGGATAGGTATTAGGCGAAGACATGGACAAAAAAAATATTTCACAGGGTTTGGAAATTTGGTGCTCCAAATTAAACTATAAGCAATGGGTTCTGTCACATTAGCAGTAAGATGGAATAAGTTGGCACTCGAGCACAAATTGCCACTTAGCAATGAAAGAAAATAATGACAAAGCCAGGTTCGTAGGAAATAATGATTTTACTGAGGTAGTGAACACTCCAGAAACAAAAGAAGCAAAGCCATGAATCTGCTATCAATACATGAGTGAACAACTTTACACCATAGCTTTATTTCAAGGAAACAATTTCCATGCCCAAGTCAAAAAGAAAGCCATATTGGAGATATGGTGATGAATACATACCGCACTTTTTGCAATGATAATAATTCTGACGACCACCGACCCTGTTTCCAACGACATAAATTTCATTATTCTCAAGACTTAATGTTTATGAACATAACAGAATAAGAACCTAACAAAACATATATTCGTTTACAGAGGTTCTTTAGAAATGGTATATTAAAGGTAAGTAGAAGGAGTCAATCATGGAGATACACATACACAAATTAGGTATATATATCTTCATAAATAGCTTAGCCAACATATTTTTCGTAAACCTGATCTACTTGGGCCAAAAAAAAAAAAAAATCTCAACACAAACACATTCAGCTCACCTACAGATCCCACAATCATCACAATGAAACTCCTGTTTCCCAGTCTGCATACCAAAAATCAGCGCCATTTAAGAAAAGGGTGAGATCAACAACAACAAGCAGGATTATACACCAAAGTAGAAGGAGATCAATAATATTCAAAATTAAAATTTAATCGGACGATATGGGAAATGAGCCATTACATCATCATCGAAGAATTTGCAGATTTCGCAGAAATATTCTCCCATCATGACGCCACAGTTTGTGCAAACTTGAGCAATCTTCAAAGAATACGTTCAAATGAAAAACAATCGAAACCGAATGGCAAATAAGACCAATGTTTTCAATCGGGGATGGAAAGGAAAAAATATACATACTGGCTGCTCTGTGTCACAAACCGCACAAACAACCTGAAACGGCAATGAAATGTAAAAACTACATGAGAATTGTCGTCTTCAGTGACTGATACAACGAAAAAAAGATTTTATTCTTAATAACCGAAAATCCACAGAGTCACGAATTCATCGTACTTGTTCAACATCTTGGCGTACTAGTTCATGCCGATCACAGATATTGCCCAACATGCTCTAAGGAAACAACACAAATCCGAATCAGCTAAATGCAAGAAACTTGAGCAGAGGATATGGGGAAAAATAAAACAGGAAGAAGATGATCAAGGAATACCACTGCCTCGTTATGACAATGACGACACCAGTAAATCTCATTGCAACAAGGAGCTCGAATCATGCATCTTCTCCTATAATGCTTGCACCTATCAAATAAACATCCACAGATCAACAAAGAAGCAATGCAAACAACATCGAAGACGACGAAAACAATCATGAATCAACGAACAAAAAGCAGAAGGGGATGAATACCCGTATCCCATCTTGCCGAAGTGAAGGCGTTCATTGGCAGAGCCTTCCATGAGATTTGGAAGAGACGGAAAAGGGAAGGCTCTGAAGGAAGGGGAAGGAGAAGGGAAGGGGTTTCCTGATTTGGGAAGAAGTGTGGGATTGGATTGCCGTGATCCTCAAAGAGGAATGGAGCCATAATGCTTAAAGAGCAAAAATCCTTTATCTTGGGATTATTTTAATGGCAGAAAGGCAAAGGGTCGCTCCAAAAAATGAACGAACAGTAACATGCCCACTTGCTGGGGACGGAAGAGGAAGAGAGAGAGAGAGAAAGAAAATGAAAGAAAGGATAAGAAAGAGGGTCTGCCCCACACAGGTTGCTTCAACAGCGGAGAAAAGGATTACCCGCCGAAATACCAGCGAGTAAATCAATTACACTAATTTTTTCGTAGGAAAAAAAATCTTAAAAAAGACTTTGAAAATTAAAAAATTATGCACAAAGACCTATTCACAAAAAGTATTTTCATTTAGTTATCAATTATTATCAATATTAATATTAATATTATAGCGGGTCGCTATTTACTATTTTTCTATTTTTAAGATTTTTTTTTGTAATTTTCCCAAAAATGAACGTTATTTTGAAAATCGTTATTAGAAAATTAATTATGCAATGGATCCATCAAATCTGAGCATATATAACTCTTTTTCTGTGTAATACTACCTCCTTAATCTCCTATCAATATTATTTTGAAAATAGTGATTGGAAAATTAATTATTTATTATAAATAACTAACTTAATTTTTTTCTTTAATCTCATCAAATTAGTCAACTAACTCTTATAATTAGGACCGGAGGTAGTATATTTTTAACTATGTATGAATATTTTTATTTTATATATAATTAAAGATAAATTACACATTAAAAATAAATATCTTATATTAAGAACAGGTTAGTATTATTATATCAAATCTATGAAATGTGGCTCATAACTCTTAACAATTGTTTGGGGGAAATATACATATAAATATATATATGCATGATAATTTTTTAGAAATGAAATATAATTTTCAATATGACATTTGTATGCGTGTGTTGATATTAGGTTTGATACGGTTATTTTGGGTAATTGATTTTTTTTATTAATTCTATGTGATTTTAAAAAGTTTCGAAAAATGCACAAGGTTGAGACTAATTAAGTCTATACATAAAATTTATTGAATAAATTTATGAGAAAAATATAAACAATTGTAGGTGGAGTTAGTTTCTTGTGTGGAAAATAAACTACCCATATGGTCGGAAAATTGTTGACAATAATTGAGATATTTTTGCAACAAACAGTAATTGAGATTTTTTTGCAACGAACAATGATTGAAATTCTATGTGTGTACGTAGGGAAATGACAAAATCAAATGTAGGCGTTTAGATCTGATCTGAAAGTTGAAAGAATATTGAAGAGACGACATGATGGAAGTAACCAGCTCCTTATCAGCAGCTCACAAGTCTTTGAATCCCACGTGTCATGGAATATTTCATATTATTCTTTTCCTTTTTAAGAATGAAATACTCATCCGGTCCTAAATATAAGATCTTTACACAGTTGATAACCTATTTAGGACCGACCCTTACATACACTAGTATAAGAGTCTTGTATTTAGGACTGAAAGAGTATGAAACAGTGTGTTGAAAGTAATGTTAGGTAATAAGTTGATAACCTGTTAGTTAAAGTGAGTTAATATGAATTAACTCATTTAACTCATAATCTTGTGAAAGGTTGGTTGATGGTTTTATGATAAGTATTTTTTCATTAACAAAGTTAAATACAAATGATCGGGACAACAAATCCAGCTCATTTAAGCAACAATCGAATATAAATGCAATCTGACCTACTCAACTTCAAATCATATCACAAGATTTTAAGAGTAAAATAGAAGATAGTTAGTAAATTTTTTAGAAATAAATAACTTATTTATATATATTAAAAAACTAATTAAGTTAGTTATTTAGTAAATTTTTTAGAAATAAATAACTAATTAAAAAATTAGTTAAGCTAGTTCTTTATAATAAATATATGCTATTTTTTTCCAACTAATCCTTTTGAGCTATTAAAAAAAATATCCTTTTGATCATTATCCTCACAACCTCTCCAATAGGAACCCCTTGTAATACATGTAATTAATAGAAATAATTTTAAAAAATTATAAATTTAGGACCACTCCTGCATTTAAAATTAAAACAAATCCCGGCGAGCATATAAAGATATGTAGAGTCAATATAACACACACAATACATTCTTGCTGCAGACTTGGTGGTTTGAGTAAAATCTATTTCAATCAGGATCAGTCCGAATGGACTGTTGCCAACAAGATTCGCTTATGAGTTCATCTCTGCCTCTTGTAAGGGTAAGCCTTGACCATTAAAAAAAAAAAAATCCATTTCCACCCGTCTCCAAAAGGGTTTAATCTGGAGAGGGCAAATTCGGCATTGTAGTAAAGTTTAGTACTTAATTTTTGTGTCAGGAAAATTTCAAGCCAAGGTATGATTGTATTTTGCATGAGTTTACAGGTGAAACTGTCCCCAATAATACCAGACTAAAATTTCCATGCAGCTTTTACGTGTTTGTTAAGCTAAGTTTCCCCTAAAAAACAGACAAATTGGTGTTTTTAACCAAAACAGTACCACATAATTAGGTCTTCAAATAAAATTCTTTCACATATCTTGCTTCAATGAAGAACCTCATAGCCAGGGTCCGGGGGGGAAAAAAAAATCAAAAGAAAGAAAGAAAAAGAGAACAGAACAGAAAAGAAGAATCTGCTAGCAAACACACATGGAATTTTACCTAAAAATTAGTTCTTGTGATATTTACAAAGGTGAGAATATACAGAATTCGTTCACTTTTACTATGTACACAAACTCCCTTCAGTTCGGTCAGATGAGGACAAGATTCATCTTTTTTATGGCTCATGCCGTCTGCCAGGATCCTGAAGAAAGCATAAATCATGCTCAAGTATAATACCTCCACAGCCGATCTCTTGCACAGCCCTTGCTATACGCAACTCATGCGGATTAAATCAAACCCTAAGATGCTTTCCCTGAATTTGAACGTCGGTGCTCAATTCAAGAAGGGAAGCTGCAGGTTCTCTGGATAATATTAAGTTTCCTCCTTGATCTCTGACACTATAGCCCAGAACGTGTGGATCCATCAGACTGCATGCTGGATTCTCTGAGTGCATTGTAACACCAAAATAGATTAAGTGGTCTGAGATGCTATTCCCACTCACTGACCTGCATGGTCAGATGAATTTTGATCAGAAGTTTGATTTAAACTATCCTCTCTAGTGTTTTGTCTAGGCCACAGCTATCCATGCACCAGTTGGTCATATGGCAGGCATACAAATAGAAGCAAAAGTTTACAGATTTTATGATTTCAACGACATAATGACAAAAATAATGATTTACCTGCTACAAGATGGATCTTCACCGGTTCTATCACAAATTTTCTCAGCTTTATAAACAAGACTTCCAAATCTCATGCTATAAATCCATACCTGCAGTCCACAATAGTTTCCAACTTTTATGAACCGGCAAACAAACTATAAAAGGTAAGTGCCGCATCTTAGTCAATTTCCACTTTAAACCAAGAGAATAGAGCATAATTAAAGCAGCATAGACAAAAATAGAAAATTTTATGTTTTATAAGGAGCTGAAAAGCATATTGAGGAAACTTGCAAAAGATCCATTGAGAATTTTATAATCCAAAACCTCTCCGCTGTTGGGACATTGGACATGCACAGCAGATTTGATGAGTCAAACCTAAAATAGGTATGCAACGGTTAAGCAGGTGGATACCCTTGAAGATTTTTTGAGGATATAGCAAAAGCTAATATTAACATCAAAAGGTACACTGCATGTAACAGTCATTCTTGACATTTGATATTTCCACAGACAACCACGTAGAATCACTTTAAGTTAAGGATAATATTACAGGTTTAATAGGCAGAATTCTATGACTTCAATCATCCATATGCCATGGCATACCTCTCTTGGAAAGTGGTGGTATGTCTTGTGTGGCAAATAAGAATAGTATGGAGGCAAATGAGGAACAATATCATGCTCATTTGTGACTCGGATAGTCTTTGGCACAAGTTGGCTATAATAAGATGCAAAAGCAGCATTGCCAACACGGGGTTGTCCAAATGTCATAACCTGAACATTCTGGGCATTTTCATTGACCTGTAAACAGGCAAAAGAACACATGAACGTTATTTCATCTTTAACAAACAGGAAAATCATAAAGCGGAAACATAAAATCATGGCCCAGGAAAAACACAACAGTAAAAGAATTTAGCTCGAACACTACTCCATTGATACCTCAGAAGTAAAATTACATCAATTAAAAAGTTGAATTCTATGTTTGACAGTAACATCCCATCATAAACACAAGCCAAAAGTTCCACCACAAACAAAGCCATCTTCAACAAGTGCAACGATTATTTCACATAAAATTGGATGCCCTACCTGAAAGCAAAACACAGACTAACTACGCAAAGGACAGAGAACTTGAAGCCATAAAATTGGATGCCCTACCTGACAGAGAACTTGAAGCCATAAAACCAGCATTCTTTAATGCCTGGTCAAATAAAAAATATCCTAAATTACAATTACCGTCAAATCAAGTCCACAAAACGCTGCCATTGCCCCACCCATTGAATGCCCTGTCACAATAATTTCAACGTCTCCATAAAATTTCTTTGCTCTTCTAACAGCATCTATAATTGCAGGACGCAAAGTTGTGTTATGGTATGCATAATAGAATCCATAGTGTACCTGAAGCAAATAATAACCATACGTCAGAAACGGCAGTCCATCCCTCTAAAATAAATTGTACTCAAACTTTAACATAACATACCATTGCATCAGGCATGCCTGGATAGTTTATATCAAGCTGCTTCCAAAATAAGTCTTCAATCCAGTTCCGGATGCTGTTCACAGCCAGCATATGTACAAATGAGCTCAACGTAAGAAAATGTTTATATAAATGTTTTAACGGACAAAACTTTCATAAGGAAAAAAGTATGCTCTCTAACTCTCAAAGGTCAACATAAGAGAATGTATAATCACTTTGCCACACAATAATGGGTTTCATGACTGATGCCACGTGAATATGAATAAATCGCAACCAAAAGTTATAAACCTAAGCATATAAATGACCCTCTGTATGTATGCATCTAATAACTGTTCATTCACAAAACCCACGTTGACAGGCACACGTGTAAGAAATACTATACATAAAGTGGCAAGCAAGTCACATTCTTTCTTTGTACTGAACTCTACGGGAAAGTGACATCTACAATATACAAATGATTTCAAACAATAACCCAATGGTTTTACTTTGGAGTTCATCCAAAGATCTCAACCCAGAATGCTGTTAAAAAGAAAAAAGAAAGGGGTGGGGGCGAATTTTAGGCCAAGGAGACTTCATACCTGTGTTCCTGAGTTCCTCTGAATGCAATGATTATGGCATTAGGATCCTTTGCCACTCCAACAAACCCCTAAAACAGGTCAAATGCACAAGACAACATGTATCATTAAAATATAACAAAACAATTTAAGAGGATATGTGAACTCCACAATTTATAGTGAGTAGTAATGTTTCTGTGATGAGGATGTACCTGTAAGCAATGCTCAACATCAACAACCAGCTCTATAATTTCGAATCCCTGTTCCATTTAAAGACCTTCAGACAAATAAATATAGTGCCAAACTAACATATTACGAAGACTAAAGTGATTCAGAGCTCATCCAGGCAACATATTACACAATAGTTACATTTATACTAACACAATATTTACATTCTCAGCACCTTGGTTAAACCATTACATCTGGAGCAAGTCCAAGCAAAAAGTTCTGTCAAATCCGACACATATACCTGCAAAGACAAGACCCTTCGATCCTCAAACACAAGTCAAGCAAAATTCCTAAGACTTTTTCCAGCAAGCAGAAATCCAATCCACACATGTAAAACAACATTAAGTACGCAATGCAGATTCAAATTAAGCTAGACTGACACGTTTCAATAGCCCTAAGTTGATTTCTTTTGGCCCCTAATCTAATCAACACTTCCATCAATCAGGAGAAGCTTGTGAGATGAGATTATCCCTTCATTATTAGATCATTTAATTGTATAAAAGCATGACTATAAACATGGATTTCCTTTTCTTTCTTATAAAAGGAAATCCTTACCTTGACTGAACCTAAGACCTCTATGTAAACCACCAGCCAAACCCACCACCAGAGCTCAACTAGGCCGGGCATCAAGCAAGAAATGATACAAAAGACAAGGTTTCTAATCTAAATTGCCTATAGTAAACATCGAACATTCACAAGGAACTGACCGCAGAAGCATATTCCACTAATATTGTAGCTAGCGTATGGTTGTAGAAGGCATGATGACTTTTCTGCTTAGCCTTGAGTTCTGAAAATGAAAACCAGAGTGATATTAGAACCTAATTACGAGTTTCTCACATTAGAAGAATAATCTTACGTGTTCATGTCCCAAAAAGCACAAAGGCATATCTCTGTATCTTCTCTGACCGCAAAATAAAAAAGAACAGTTTCTAAGAGGACTGACCAACTTCCCTCCCAGTTATTAGCACACTAAATTAGGTACTTCGATCTCCTTGAAATTTAGAAGAAAAAATTATCTTATTTCCATACCCACAAAAAAAGAAATAGTTCCATAATAGGAGGAAAAAACACCCCAAAACTTGGCAATCTACAAATATGAATTAATATTTACACAGCACAATCAGTTACACTAACCAGAAAAAATACGGTATGATTAAGAAAGGTGCCGATGATCAATTGAAGCAGAAAGCCTTAATAATGGAAAAATTAATAAATAACACAAACAGATAGAGATAGAGATAGAGAGAGTTATGCATGGCAGAAATGTTAAACGTTCCACTCTTACCTCTCCCGTTCGAGAGGGCAAGCAGACATAAACAGCCAGTCAATAATAACCATGAAGTCTTCCCCATAACCTGCAAAATCAGGACAGATGCGAGATGAGATAAATTAAACCAACACGTTCAGTTCTAATCAATTTCAAATTTAAAAAAAAAAAAACACCAAGAATCCAAATCAAAATATATAACATTACGCCAGACTAATACATTAGATAGATATGCAAAACCGACTTGCCTTCGGTAATTGAACGCCGACGACAACTGAAATTTGCTCGTCCGTGTGCTCCGGTGCAAGCAAATCTACGTGGTAAAGGGACGGCTGAGAAAAATGGGAGTCTTCGATTCGGACATTCAACAGGGAGAGATGACGATGAAGAGGACAAAAAGACAAATTAACAAATAATCACAGATGCGACGTCGCTGTTATTATTATAAGAATAATAGAATAGGGAAAAATAATTCCTTCAACTTCAACTAATAACTCCACGCAACTGAATCCTTACCATTTAAAAAATTTAAAATATTAATTTTTATATTTTCTAAAAAGTAAAATTATGTGTTCTATGAAATTTAAAAAATAAAATTTTAACTGATTAAAATTATGAGAATAGAGTTTCTGCGAGCTAAAATTGTAGAAATTATGTTGCACTAGTTTACGTCCTTTTGATTTGTTAAAATGAAACACGAATATCCTATGGATGCGCGAACTATATCTTTTTTTTGTAGGGCAACGTTCGAATTATGACTTTTTTTGGGCAAAAACTAGCCAATTCTAACTTTACCTTTTTTGTTAAAAAATTATTTAGAATTAATATCAGCCCTTTTGGTTTCATATAGTTATGGAGAGATCAAAACCAAAATTTCATAAAACGTATATGAATCATTTATTAACCCCGTACAAAAAATTATGAAACTATAGAAATAATAACTAATTATTTAAAATTATAGGATCATAATCAAAATTCAATAAACTCTAAGGATTACAAATGATACTTAGTACTCTTTTAGTTATTGATATAAAGCCTAATTGTTTAGTTAATTTTGATTTTAAATATAAGATATATTTCTCATATTTATTAGTTTTTTTTCTAAATTATCCCTATTGGTACTCTTTCAATATGATTAAGTAAAAGAAGAAGGAAGCATATTAAGAAAATAATTATAGTATTTTAGGAATATGTCATACTTCTTGTAACTAACTAACTTACCTAACTTTCTTAATCTAATCAAATTAGTTAAATAGATTTTATATTAAGGAATATTAACTTAACCATGAGATATTACCTCCAATCTTTAATATAAGAGCTAGTTGACTAATTTAAATAGATTAAAAAAGTTTACTGAGTTAGTTATTTGTAATAATTAGGTGTTATTTTTCTAAAAATACCCTTACTAATCAAATATATTAATTTGAATTGCTATTATTATAAAGACCATCTTAGGAAAAAAATAGATAAATATGAGAGACAAAATAGATTGATGTTTTATATTTAGAATTAAAATAAAAATCAAATGAGTTCTTATATTAAGGATTGGATGTAATATTTAATAACAAAACGTACAAAACTAAACTGCATTGACTTTTCTTGACCAAAAAAAAAAAAGCATACTTCGGCGCAACGAACAGGGGAAGAATAATGTGAGCTGCCGATATTGTGCTGTGGAAATAAATTTTTTTTTTTAGGGCCTGACAGTGGAGATAAACATTAGGTTATTTTGAGAGCTAATAAAAAAATTGGGAGGGTTTCCAAACAAAAAAGAAAGTGCAGAGAAACTAATGACAGGACGCTTTCGTTGGTTTTCAACTCTGATTGAGAAATAATAATTATCAAATTCTGATTAATGTTTTTTTTAATTTTTAAAGTCATAAGCCACCTTCTTATATCTAAAATAGACATTTTCCCCTGTGATAAATAACAAAGAGATCTCAAAAACAATCATACCACTCATGTACATGGTAAAATAATACTATCTTCGGTCCTTAATATAAAACCTTATTTAATTTTTATTTTGATCATAAATATAAGATTCTAATCCACTTTGTCTCTTATATTTATACATTTTTTCTAAGATAGTCCTCCTAACAATGGTAGTTATAGCCAATACATTTAATTAACAAGGATATTTTAGGAAAGATAACATATATTTATTACAAATAACTAACTTAACTTTTCTTAATCTCTTCAAATTAGTCAACTAGCTTTTATAATTAGGACCGGAGGTAGCACCATGCATTTATTTTCTTAAAATTGAAAATCTATCATATTTATGTATATTACTACTTCCGCTTCTTAATATGAAAACTAATTAATTAATTTAAATAAATTAAAAAAATCTATTAAGTTAATTACTTGTAATAAATAAATAGGTATTCTCTTCTCTAAAATACCCTTGCTATCATATGTGTTAGTTAGAACTACCATTTGATGAAATCTTTAATATGTACAACTACAGCAAGGATTAGCTTGAGAAAAATAAATAAACATAAGAGATAAAGTGAATTAGAATATTATATTTAAGATCAAATTAAAAGTCAAACTAACTATTATATTAAGAACTGAAGATAGTGTATTATTTGATAATATACTATTAGAATTACTATATAATAAAAAAATTTAGATGAGTTGAGAACTCACTAGGATCAGGACAAGTTTTTCGGCTTAGAGAGCACTTACATATTGCCCACAAACAATATTCTTATATTGACAATGAGATTTGAATTTATGATTTTATAAGTTGTAAATAGACTCTTTATAAATTAGAGCAGCGTTTGTTGGTATTATTCACATTTGTAGTTAAAATAAAAAATAAAAAATAAAAAAACCCCACGAGTGGGAAGAGCCCATGGACAGGGGTCCAAAAATGAGATCCCGACCCAAATCCATGAAGGCGGGAAAATCCGATTTCCGTATCAGTGGCGGGAAAGCGCCGTTTCACTTCCACGTCCTAACGCCTCTAACCGCACATTTATCTTTCCCGGTCACACGACTATAAATACCCAAATACCCCCCTTCCTGCGAACTTTACTCAGCTTCTATCGAAAACCCTTCGATCTCACGAAGCCATGGCGAGGCGGTCCAAGGGCCAAGCTTCTTCTGATGAAGCCATGTCCAACGGTTCCACTTCCTCGGAAGAGGAGCGTGTCAACGAGCAGATCAACGATGAAGAGGATGAAGAAGAGCTGGAAGCTGTGGCTCGCTCTGCTAGCTCCAATGATAACGATGATGAAGCTGCAGATGGTGATGCGCCGGATTCTGACGAGGATGCGGCTGCCGCTGGAGACGTTGACGAGGAGGAACTGGTAAAAACAGCTGCTTAAGCTCTGAGTCTGTTTTGTGTCCTACGCTGTTCCCCTTATCCTGGACTTCTCTCTGGCTTAGATAGATATAGCGGTGGACTGCTTTATTCGTTTATCAAGTTGTATGCTTGTCAACCTAGAACAGAGAGAGGGAAAATGAGGTTTTATGATTTAAGGGACGTAGTTTTAGTTCAAGAACTCTTCACATAGAGAAAACAAAATGCTGGCTAGGAACTAAGATAGTAAAATGTCAGCCGAGTCAAATTCCACGTTTATTCATGGCCTGTCGTCTTTTGCTTCTTTTTTTTTTCAACTATAAATTAAGTTGGTGAACTAGCGACATACTCATTGGAAATGGGTAACGGAAGCTCGTTAATTGTACTTTAATACTCGGGTTGATTTGATCTTCAAAAACAAATGTTTACGTGTTGGCCGTTTATTAAGAGTTAGTTGATCCACGTAATCTTAAATGACTGTGTTCTATGCTGTATGATATGTTTGTTATGCATGCTTTCTGTTGAACTGTATTTGGAAGCCTCGTGATGTAACTACATGATCACTGTAAGCCTTGTTGCGCTGTCCAAAGTACAGGATGATGGAAATGTTGATCCAGAAATTAGGAAGCGCGAGAAGGCCAGATTAAGAGAAATGCAGAAATTGAAGAAACAAAAAATTCAGGAGATGTTGGATAAGCAAAATGCTACTATTGATGCAGATATGGTGCGAGCATTCAGGATGCCTCTTCTGCCTTGTTTTATCATAATGTGGTCCTTTTTTTTTCGTTTAAGTAACCAAATCTTTCATCTAATGCAGAACAATAAAGGAAAGGGGCGCTTGAAGTATCTCCTACAGCAAACTGAATTGTTTGCTCATTTTGCCAAAGGTGATCCAAGTACCTCTCTGAAGAAGTCAAAAGGAAGGTGTGGCTCCCTTTATAATTCCTGGGTACTGTATGCTATGCTATGGCTATGATATTGGTATATAAAATTTCACAACTATGCTCAAGAAGTTGAAAGCATACGTGGTTGTATAAGAAATACTTTCGATTTTCTTTTCCTTTTTTCAATCTCTTGATTGGTTTACCTATTGAGGTATTTATGTTTAGTGTTTTACCTCACCTGAACGAGGCAATTGCCTTCTAACTCCCTATTGTAGCCAAACAAATTTCACGAGCACTTCCCTTTTTGTTATACTACTGTTGTGTCCTCAAATCTTATCCAAGTGCATGATAGGTTCCGCAAAGAGACTGTCAAATTGAAAAACAAGAAAAGGGGAACACCATCCTTTGTGCCCCTGCTCTGGTTTTTTTTTTTTTTTGGCTTTTGGATTGGTATCTGTCCTATCTTGCTATATGCAGAAGGCAGTGGAGAGTTGTGAGTGATAAATCTTGACCTTTTGCTTGATAAGAGAACTTATCCTATGTTAATTGTTGCCGTAGGGGTCGCCATGCATCTAAAGTAACTGAAGAAGAAGAAGATGAAGAGTACCTCAAAGAAGAAGAAGACGGTTTAGCTGGGAACACACGGTTGGTGACACAACCATCATGTGAGTGTCATTTGTTTTTGAGTAAATAAATGCTCGAATCATAGGGCTCCATTCTTTGTGCACCATATTTCTGTGTTGTGCTTTTTGTTCCTCTGTTTTTCTATACTATGTGTTTATACCTAATATGGGGATCCATAAAGCTGGGCCAAGAATGCATGAAGTAAATTATTCAGAGAAGGCTTAGATATGGCAAACTGGTTATATATGTTCGATTCCTATCCTGGTGAATGAGATACACGCTCTCGACATATTCTTTTTTCCTATTTCTTATAGGGGCTAATTTTATTCTACATTTATATCCGTTCTTTAACTTTTCTCTCTTTAATTTGCTTGCTTTCTCCACACCTCTACTGTTTGATGTCTACTGCTGGCTAGTTGATGTCTTGTGGATTGCTCTTAAATTATGATATTCCATTTCCGAGGTAGTAAATCTGAAATGAGGATGCATGTCATATTAGCTGATATCTTTGTAGCTCTAATTTGCTAGAATGCAAATTGCTTGTTCTTTTCACAGGTATTCAAGGGAAGATGAGGGATTACCAACTTGCTGGTCTAAACTGGCTTATAAGATTGTATGAGAATGGTATCAATGGAATTCTGGCAGATGAAATGGTATGTGATAGAATATAGATGTTACCTGCAGAGCTGTGCCTCCTTTCAAGACATTGCTTGTTAATGTAAATGTAGTAACTTTGTGGTGTGTAATTTTGTAAAAGTAAGTAAGTTGTTGAATTGCAGGGGCTTGGTAAAACTTTGCAAACTATCTCTTTATTGGGTTATTTGCATGAGTTCAGAGGAATTAAAGGTCCTCATATGGTAGTTGCTCCAAAATCTACTCTTGGAAATTGGATGAATGAAATTCGGCGCTTTTGTCCTGTTCTGCGTGCAATTAAGTTTCTTGGCAATCCTGAGGAAAGGGTAAGACCGTCATGCTTCTCTCTTCTAACCTTCTTCATACATCAAAGACGGGCTTTGCTTTGACAAATTCTATTGGCATAGCTTACCGTTAAGACATGTTTTACTCTCTTATTGCTTTCAAATTGCTGCAGAGACACATCAGAGAGGAATTATTGGTTGCTGGGAAGTTCGATGTATGTGTTACTAGTTTTGAGATGGCAATCAAGGAGAAGTCTGCATTGCGTCGTTTTAGTTGGCGCTACATAATTATTGATGAAGCTCATCGAATCAAGAATGAGAATTCTTTACTTTCTAAAACAATGCGGCTGTACAATACAAACTATCGGCTTCTTATCACTGGCACACCTCTTCAGGTATGAGTTGCGCATTATCCAATATGTTAGTGGGCTTACTTAAAAAAACAATGTCTGGGTCTTATGTGATCCAGTTGTTCCATAGAATTGTATTATTGATACGATTCACGATTATTGACTATAGAACTATCTCGACTTCTTTCTTTCTTTTCTTTTCTTTCCTTTTTTGGAAGGGGGGTTTTGTGGAAATAACTGAATAGATGTATTGAGTAAAGAATGAGTGAGGAGCAACTGCCTCTGCTTCTGGGGTGTCATTAGACTGTATTAATGGGGATTTTTGCTCTTTCCTACAGCTTGATTCTGAATTATGTGCTTTGAGATCTGCCTCCGAATTCTAATTTGGTTTTTTATTGTCGCATGTATGGTGCTAGATTATCGACTCTTGAGCATTTACTATGGTTCATCTCTTCTATTGGTGCAGAACAATCTCCATGAGCTCTGGTCCCTTCTCAATTTTCTTCTTCCCGAAATTTTTAGTTCTTCTGAAACTTTTGATGAGTGGTTTCAAATCTCTGGTGAAAATGACCAGCAAGAGGTCGTTCAACAACTGCATAAGGTGAGCTTGGTTCTTTTATTAATTGGTGAGATAGTTTTTCCCCTACTAAACCTGATAATAAGTTGATATTTTCAACTTCTGTTTAAATTCAGGTCCTCCGTCCATTTCTCCTTCGAAGGTTAAAGTCAGATGTTGAGAAGGGTTTGCCACCAAAAAAAGAAACCATTCTCAAAGTAGGAATGTCACAAATGCAGAAACAATATTACAAGGCTTTACTGCAGAAGGATCTTGAGGTTGTCAATGCTGGTGGAGAGCGAAAACGTCTTCTGAATATAGCTATGCAACTGCGTAAATGTTGTAATCACCCATATCTTTTCCAAGGTGCTGAACCTGGTCCTCCTTATACAACTGGGGATCATCTCATTACAAATGCTGGTAAATTCTATTTCATTTAAGATATTTTAGATTTTTTTTTACGCTATTGAATATAAGCTCTGATATTGTTTTACTCTTTTTTTTTTGGGCAGGTAAAATGGTTCTTTTGGATAAATTGCTGCCTAAATTAAAAGAGCGAGACTCTAGGGTGCTTATATTTTCACAGGTTGGTTGTCTATTGGCATTTGGTTTTGGTCTGTAATGACCATATGTGCCTTGAATTATCCAGCTTGATGTATATTTATCATCCTTGCCTCTTTTCCTTTCCATTTCGGTTGCCATTGTTGTTAAACTTCCTTGCACCATTATTTTCCAGATGACCAGGCTACTAGACATACTTGAAGATTACTTGATGTTTCGGGGATATCAATATTGTCGTATTGATGGTAATACTGGTGGAGAAGATCGTGATGCTTCTATTGACGCTTTCAATAAACCTGGGAGTGAAAAATTTGTCTTCTTATTGTCGACTCGGGCCGGAGGTCTTGGCATTAATCTTGCTACTGCAGATGTTGTCATTCTATATGACAGTGATTGGTCAGTTTTTTTTTTTTTCCCCGAATTTTAATTTCTGTACCAAACTTTTGCTTTTTGTTGATGGTTGGTGGTTTCATTGCAGGAACCCACAAGTTGACTTACAGGCCCAGGACCGGGCTCATAGGATTGGCCAAAAGAAAGAAGTTCAAGTTTTCCGTTTCTGCACTGAGGTTTTTTTTTTTTTTTTGTTGGTGACATGCACTGAGGTTTTTCTTAACCCATCATTTTATTTTCCTGTTTATTATTGACTAAATATAATTATTATATCTATTTGCATCGCTAAAATATAACAGTATACCATTGAGGAAAAAGTCATTGAAAGAGCTTACAAAAAACTCGCACTCGATGCACTGGTGATTCAACAAGGGCGATTAGCTGAGCAGAAGAGTAAGGAAACGCTTTTCTCGTTTCTTTCCGGCTAGATGTATGGATTATCTAATACCGCTTAATTGTTTATTTACGCAGCTGTAAATAAAGATGAGTTGCTTCAAATGGTCAGATTTGGTGCTGAAATGGTTTTCAGTTCAAAGGATAGTACAATTACAGATGAGGATATTGACAGAATTATCGCTAAAGGAGAAGAAGCAACAGCTGAACTTGACGCCAAGATGAAGAAATTTACTGAAGATGCAATCAAGTTTAAGATGGATGACAGTATGTATTGTAATCTATGTACTTTATAGCTTTGTAACTAAAAATAGCGTGACCTTTCTCCTGTTAGATCTTTTGTGCTGCACTTGTGCCGACTTCATTCAAGCGATATAAAGCCTGATAGGGCTTCAATGCACACTTCATCCTTTGGGGTTATACTCTTGCGGTGAAAGGGACATGCAGTAACTATGATTGTGTTTGCTTATTTGCTTGCATTAGTAGTGGTTTCAGATATCATGTAAAACAATTTCTACATACGTAGTTCAATATCATTATTGTCATTACACTTGTTTTTGCTATTTCACTTGTGAATGGAATTTGAGTATACTAATATTGATGCTTTTCTCACATTGCAGATACTGAATTGTATGATTTTGATGATGATAAGGTACATGTTACTCTGTATATGTCTCTGGAAACAATAACTGGCTTTTTTATTATATGTTGCTAAGTTCTTATGTTTTCAAGAAGAAAATAACGCATCTTCTCACATATTTGCTTGTTTGTTTTCAAATGAAGGACGAGAACAAATTTGATTTCAAGAAGATTGTCAGTGAAAATTGGATTGAGCCACCAAAAAGAGAGCGGAAGCGCAAGTAAATATCACCCTTTTCATTTTAAATTTAGAGTTAGCTCAATCTTTTTCCCGTGGGATGATATATGATTATTTTAAATGCTTTACTCAGTTACTCAGAGTCTGAATACTTCAAGCAAACAATGCGCCAAGGTGGTCCTACAAAACCCAGAGAGCCCCGTATTCCCAGGATGCCTCAGCTGTAAGTCCTTGTGAAGTTGTCTTAACGTATTGCTTCATTTACAACTGTGCAATCATTGCTACCCTTCTTCCTCCAGGCATGATTTCCAGTTCTTCAACACACAAAGGTTAAGTGAGCTGTATGAAAAGGAAGTGCGCTATCTCATGGTGGGTAATATAAACTTGCTGGTGGATTTAAATATTGGCTTAACGAATAGGTAAGGACTGGCATAGGCACTCACTTTTTGTAATGAATTTTCAGCAAACCCATCAAAAGAATCAGGTAAAGGACTCCATTGATGTTGATGAATCAGAAGGTCCGTGAGTACTGTCTATACTGTAGTTCTCTTTTTTTTTTTTCCTTTTCATTTGGTTTTTGATTCCAATGATAGCATGTATTGAATCTCTAGAGGTGGGAGATCCTTTGACTGCTGAGGAGCTGGAAGAAAAAGAACGCCTGCTAGAAGAGGTTAGTGTATTTTCTCAACGATCTAAATTTCAGCGTCAGGCTCTGTTTAACTTGGTTATCGGTGAATTATAGGGATTTTCATCATGGAGCCGAAGAGATTTCAACACTTTCATTAGGGCATGTGAAAAGTATGGTCGAAATGATATCAAAAGTATTGCTTCTGAGATGGAAGGTAAAACAGAGGAGGAAGTTGAAAGATATGCTAAGGTCTTCAAGGAGAGATACAAGGAATTAAATGGTGGGTAACGGTATTCTCTAGGACAAAAAGTCGAACCATTAAATTGTGACTGTGTTTACCTCCATTTGTTTTATTCGATAATCTTTAACAGGTGTAAATGAGGCTTAGTCTCTGTAAACCAGCTTTTTTGCTTCATTTTTCAAACTGCAGCCCTTTTCCCTCTTGGTTCTTTTCAATACATGTTTTGTTAACTGAAGCATGAAATAAAATTTCTCGTAAAAATTTAAAATGTTAACTTGCTGGATTTAAACTGATATCTGCAGATTATGATCGAATTATTAAAAATATTGAAAGAGGAGAGGCTAGAATATCACGTAAAGATGAGATTATGAAAGCTATCGGGAAGAAGCTGGACCGCTATAAGAATCCATGGCTAGAGTTGAAGATACAATATGGCCAAAACAAGGGGAAGTTATACAATGAAGAATGTGATCGATTCATGGTAAATTTATATTTGGTTTTTCCTTTTTTAGATTTTCTCCTCTAGTCTGGCCCATCTAATATCTTGCATTTCAACAGCCAATATCCTAACATCGTTCAAAATTTGGTTCATTCACAGATATGCATGGTTCACAAACTTGGTTATGGGAACTGGGATGAGCTGAAGGCAGCATTCCGCACATCACCCCTGTTTCGGTTCGATTGGTTTGTCAAGTCTCGCACAACACAGGAACTTGCGAGGAGATGTGACACACTCATTCGGTTGGTAGAGAAGGAAAACCAAGAATTTGATGAGCGGGAGAGACAAGCTCGTAAAGAGAAGAAACTTGCTAAGGTTTGTAATTTGCCCTTGTGCCGCGTCGCTCTCTAACATCTGAGATTAGAGACAATAAAATCAAAACATAAAGCGGTGGCGTGGTTGACCATGTTAATATATACTAATACTTTGGACTTGTATTGGAGCTCTGATTTTGGGCATTTGAATTTGAATACTGCGCATGACAATACCTAGGTGCTTTGGATTCTCATCTTTGGTTTATGTGAACTGCTATTTCACCCCAACTTTAACTTGACGTTTCAGAACAACATGACCCCTTCAAAACGTGCATTGGCAAGACAGTCGGATGGTCCATCTTCTCTGAAGAAGCGCAAGCAATCAACTATGGACGACTATGTCAGCTCGGTATTAATCTTTTCTTTGCGTAGATATGAATTATATTCCTTCCTGATGTTCATTCAGGTTAACTTGCTGTGCCATGCACCCTGAACTTCTAACTTCGTTGTTGTGGCCAGGGAAAGAGGAGGAAGTAGATGGACATATTCCTGGACTTGGTAAACCAAGTTCATGTGATAGATCCATGGGCCTGGTTTTCCATAACAAGTTCGATGCTGCAAACTCAGTTTTCTAAGTTGCGTAGGTTCCAGCTATAACATTTTGTAAGGGTAGATAGGATATATCAGGATGTAATGAGATGACGGTTACTTCTGTAAATCTACTAACAAACCGTTGAGCTTGCATATTGCATCTTGTATAACAGCCTCCGCAATTAATAGATCCTGTTTTTCTTGGCTGTGGTTCTGTTGAAGCCCCGCTCAGAATTATCATCCAAGTAAATTTACACTAAACATGGTAAATCAAAAGAAAAAATTTTACGTGACCATCTTGTTCTCATAAAAATAGTCTGGGCACTTCTCAGTTAAGAAAAGCACTAGGCATTCTCATTTCATGTCTTTGCACTCATTCAGGAATAGATGTACAATTCACAAGATCCATTCTTTTAGCTGGAAATCAAGTGATGCTACGCAATGTGGCATGTGAAGTGTACAGTCTCACTCATCCATTCAAATAGCACTTACGAAATTAGTCCATTGATGCACTCAACGGGTGCAAGCAAGGCATAAAGGAGAGGGAGAGAGCAGGGCTATGTGCCATAATATAATATACCTTTTTTTTTGGTTATGTATAAGCTGAAAACATGAGACTCTGACATAAACAAGATACACTGTACGAGTACATGTAACAGCAATGACACCCACACCAAATCCACCAAGCACCCCCACTTACAAGCGAATACGAGGGTGCAAAAATTAGACGACTCTGTCTAACAAGAACCTACGAATCCTTGGTACATAGATGAGCATGTTTACATTTTAAATCCCCAATCCACACTATCTTCACCAACTCCCACTCTTCTCCACTCCGTTTTCTTCCCCACAATGACCAACTACCAGAATGACATAAGCCTGGGTCCAAGATGCTTGCTTGTTTCTGGGTAGACACGAAAACCAGGACAGTAAAGGATGACCTTTATGCAAATTTTTCGTGACTCAATTCATAATCTCTTCATTGCAAGATGAAAAGTGAAACGGATTGGTTTTTTGGGCATTCACTCATTTGTTGCATCAAAGCTGCCCACGGCATTAGCCCTCTTTTTTTCTCTCCAATTCTCACCCCATACTTTTGCTTCTGCAACCGCACGCTCTCTGTCTAGGTCACGGTTCCTTGGAGTTTCCCTAGCTCTCCCAGTATTTACAGGGCTGTCTCTCTGAGATTCCAGCCTTTCTACATCATCCAATCTCCATCTTCTTCCTGAACCAGTTTCACTCCTGCCCAAATCTTTCCCAACACTTGGATCCCTACTATCTCTCCTTTGGACATCAGGCGAGTTCTTATGTGTGGAAGGGGAGCCACTCCGCCCATGGTCAGGGCTATCCATAACACCATCTACTACGCTCCTTCGGTCATCCCTGCTCCTTGGTGTTCCAACCCTACTATTCTGATTGCTTGAATTCGGGTCATATGTCTGTGAGGCCAGGTATGTGAGAGCAGTCACAACATCACCAATAAGAGGCCTTGTAGCAGCTTGTTCCTGCAAACACATGGCTGCAACTGCAAGTGCTTGGTAGAGTCCTCGCATTGGGTAACGCCCTTGAAGTAGCGGATCAGCCATTTTTGGAAACTTCCTACGGTCTTTGAAGAGAGGTCGTGCCTACAAAGTTCCATGTTCCGATGGATATTAAGACAAAGAGTATAACCATGTTTCAGTCCCTACCATTGTTGTATAAAAATAAAACGTTTATCGATGGTGACTACCAAAAAAATAAGGTATATCTATGGTACAAGAAGCAACACAAATATGACCAGATAAAGTGCTTACCCAGGCAACGAGATTATGCTCTCCAGGTGCACGGGTATTATCAATAGCTTTGCGTCCAGTAATAAGTTCAAGAAAGACAACTCCAAAGCTATATACATCAGACTTTAGAGTTAGTTGGCCTGTCATGGCATACTCTGGAGCACAGTAGCCATATGTTCCCATTACTCGTGTAGATACATGCGTCTTATCACCAACAGGACCAAGCTTCGCAAGCCCAAAATCTGATAGCTTGGGATGAAAACCCTCATCAAGGAGGATGTTGGATGACTTTAAGTCTCTGTAAATAACAGGGGGATTTGCTTTGTCATGCAAATATTCCAATCCCTTAGCAGCACCAGCGGCAATTTTCATTCTTGTGTTCCAGTCTAGAGGGTCCTTGTCAGGAGGAAGATCTGAGGAGAAACTCGAGTTAGAAGTTTCTCTATAATGCATGGGCTAGAACCTTATATGGTTAGATTTCATAATAGCACCATGCAATAGAAACACACTGTTACACTAGGATGAATGAAAGAACAAAGCATAACAAGCTTATAGATGAACAGAATAATATACGTCACATCTTTATTTGCTAAATCCTGAGCAACAATCTAGTTGAAGATAGCTATTGTTGGTCTAGCATTAATGCTTGGAAACCTAAAACGATCTTGCAAGGATGGATCTAAATGATTTTCCTACCCTAATAACCATGCCTAACATTGTATGTCACTGTATGGCATGCCATAGATGCTCAAGTTGATGAAAGATACAAAAACAATATGTACTTTGCTAACTGGCAAGTAACAAATGAAAAGGAAAATATGCTTTCAATTGAAAATATATTAACTGTCAATAAATACACACCTGAAGATCACCTTGAACTATACCAAGAAACAAACCACAATGATATAAGAATAAGTTTACAAAGATTATTATTCAGCAGTCTTTCAAAATGCTTTAGATACGATGTGAGATAACCTATTTCCAGAGCCTACAAATTGAAGTGAATTAGACCAACAGTGACTAGCTAAAACAAACCAAATAGTATGTATAAGTAATCAGATCAAATTCTTGTTGTCTTATTCTGATATAAAAAGAGACCGGGCATGAGAAAAATAAGCCAAAGATGAACATTCAAACATGCATGGAAGACCATGATTTCATGCATTCGGGGAATATCACCTTTCATTTCTATACTATGATACAGAAGAACTGCAAATGAGATTGTGATCTTTTCTTTGCATTGACAGCAACCTAACAATTAAATTTCACTGGCCCATATGTGATAAGTGGGGGAGTTAAATGGTTATCTTATCTTACACCATCCTTTGCAGCACTTACAAAGCATGTTTACGATAGTGATACTAGCAAAATGTATTCATGTTTCTCTTTGGAGATTAGATGCCTGGCTAATCTTAGAATAAGAGTCAAGTATTATATCAACTACCAATGCAATACCATGTAAACAAGTTCAATTTATTAAGCAGAATAATGAATAATCTTCAAACAGTTATATAGAAGAACTAATAACTATGAAGCTCTGAAATGGATATTAATAATCTATTTCATAGTCAAGGAAAAGTCCATGGTAAACTTATGATGGTTATGCAAAGGTTATATGATCTCTGGAGAGTCAACAAAGTGATGCATCCCCCTTTTCTTACTTTCCCTTGAACAGCAATAGATAATTAATAGTCCTCTCCTGGCCATCTTGCCCAATGACTTTCCAATCTTATCATTGAAAAAAGGGGCGTCCATGGCAACCAGACAGAAATTTTTGCATGACACTTGTGAATTTAACCAAACAGAGGCAGAAATTGCTCATTCAACAGAGAATCTTATACTATTCCTTTTTCATTCGCTGCCTTTTAAGCCCACATGCTTTCTTAAAACTTCTCAGATTTTGAATCTTCAGCATCTAAGGCATCATAAAAATCAATCAACAGGGCAGTTAAACATTTTGTTATGCAAACTAAATACTCAAAAATTCAGGGAGAAAATGTTTCAGTAACAAAGGAATGCAGTCTAACCATGTAAATGATCCTCCAAAGAGCCCAATGGCATAAATTCATAAACAAGGAGCCTCTGATCACCATCAGCACAATAACCAATTAAGTTGACAAGATTGGGATGATGCAAGAGGCTAAGCATGAGAACCTCCACCAAGAATTCCCGATTTCCTTGAAGGCCATTGCGATCAAGCTGTTTTACAGCAACTACCTGCAAATGCATGATGCATTCTCAGATATTAAGATTAAGAGTGACATAGCAACAAAGTAACGATTAAATGAAAATCCACGACTGACAGATAATAGAATTTATGTTTAGAATGTAAAGATAATTTGACTAAATGTTTCTCTGACATTAAAGGCTTTACGTTGAATTTCAGTATAGAGTAAATCCAAAAGCTTCAGAAGCTCCAATACAACTTACTTGTCCTGTGCTCTCAAGGCGACCTTTGTAGACACGTCCGAAACCCCCTTCACCTATTAAGCATTCTGGCCTAAAATTCTTTGTAGCAGCTGCAAGCTCTCGGAATGTGAATGTTTGTGCAGCAATATGGGCTGTTGGTTCCTTGGGAACGGGTGGTTCCTTCTTGGGATCAAAGCTGCTTTTCGATTTTGATTTATCTATGTAATTAGTGGAAGGTAAGTAGGAGTGCAAGAAATATTGAAAAATAGAGACATTGGATGAATTAGACTAGATTTTAAAAATTTGCTGCTATTGAAGCCACATAAGGAGAAGTTGAAGGCAACATTTAAAATTAGCACAAAGCATGTCATAGTGTTCAATAGCAACTATCTTGAAACTAAACTGCCCACTGATAAAGGTTCATCTTGGAAAAACACATGACAAATCACATCATCAGTAATATGAAATTAGTAACATCGAATTCCAGTAATTTTATTAGTCCAAATTGTACAGTTGTATAAACATAATGCCTGGACTGTAAAGGTTCCAGTATCTGGCTAACTCGCCTTAGTCTTCACTACTTAAAACAATCCAATTTTTTCATCGAGGCACAAACCAGCTTGGTAAAAATTATTTTATTTTCTAATATATTTTCTTAGAACATTGGTTATTCAAAATGCAGCTATTAGCATTTTAGCATCTATACCTGACAATTGCAACCAGATAAAAAGAATGTTATCAGACAATGCGAAATGCTTGTCCGGTCACAACCACAGACAAGCAGATCTGTAACTGAGTCAATTGTACACCTTGAATTGAACAAAATTCTACAAATGAAATCAAGGGATTTCCAGAAACGAGCAAATCATTATCATATTAGCAGCTGAAGCACAATCTTTGATGAATCAGATCAAAGCAACGAATAATTTCAGCGAAGACACGTTTTGGCGAGAGACACAAAATTCAGCACAATTCGAGCCAAATCATTAACCAAAGTTGGTGGAAAATCAAGGGCAGATACAATTAGCCATAACAAGCAATGAAATTTGCTCTGACCTGAGTTAACCCTATTGGTATGGTTAGACTTAGCAACAATTGAGCCTTCTTTAAAGGAATCCTTCTTGACTGCTACTTCCTTCAACCCTTGGTCATCCTTCTTTGATCCAAAGCAAGGAAAACACCCACCCATATCAAATCCAGACACAAGAAAGCCACCCTCACAAAACCCTGCAAGGAATAGCTCTCATCACAAAACCCCTCAAATCTTGAACCTTCCCCAACAATCACAATTTCCGAATAGACCCATCTGAGAAATCTCCAACCAAACACTGCCTTTTGGTCTCACTCACTGACTCTCTCTCTCTCTCTCTCTCTCTCTCTCTATAGCTCACTCTGGTTGTATCTCTATAGGATCTTCATCGGCCGTTAAAGGGAAAGATCGAGGCCAACATGTCGGAGAGGCAGATCACCCAATCGTGGAAAATTGATGTGGTGGACAAGAAGGTAAAGAAAAAGCAAGGAAACAGCGAAAAAAAAAAAGGGAATGTAAGAAAAAGGAAAAAGGAAAAAAAATTGATTTTTTTTTTTTTTTAGTTGAAGATGAATTACTTGGGTTTAGGGAACAAAATCGCGGTATTCAGTCCCTCGCGGAGTTATGGGATTACTAGGCTGCCATTAACCAATTCATTCAAATTACAGATAGACAAAATTAACAAAAAATGTGAATAATTACATATGTGTTCTTCAATAATAATCATCGCTGTCGGATAGTGGGCTCCACCCAATGGATGTGTGATGGACATTCTCACCACGTTTAAATTTGAATGAATTGATTATTTAATTTTCAAAAAATAATCGTGTTTTCTCTAATTTGTTGTTTAATTTTTGTGAGATATTTTTAATTATTAGTTTAAATTGTTTCCTATATAGTCATGTGAAGTGCGGATCGCACTATTTATATGAAATGTTTTTTTGACCAAAATATTTATATGAAATATTGATATATGTGGTTGATTTGAAATAAAAAAATTAACTTATGGATTTTTAATCAAAATATTTTTAGTTTTTCTTCTGCATGCGTGCTTAAATTTTGGATCTTAGATATGAATTAGATCTTTATGTCTCCTTTGTCTTTGAAGACATACGATAAAATTGGAGTTCTTTCTGTGTACGAAAATTTTAGAAATTAGATGTAATTTAAAGATATATTTTTATATCAATTGTTGTATTCATGCAAGTTTAAAATATAAAAAATTACTCTATTTTATAATTTTTTATTTATGTTATTTTCATACAAATTATTTTAGATTTTTCAGTGCCGCACATATTAAAAGTTAAACACCATATTTTATTTCAGAATTTATTAGTATATGCACCTATGTATTAGATTATTTTAATGACAAGTTATTATTATTGGAAGTCTTCCCATACATCCCTTTTTTAATTATCGGTCCCACATTTACTATTTATATTTTTATCTTTTTGCACTAAAGCACGCCCTTCCTTTTTCTTTGCGCTCCACACTTTTTAAGTTTCTCTTACTCCTTTTAAGATAAAAAATATATTTTTTAGTCTTATTTATAAGAGTTTTATTTATAAGATATTAAGAAAAATTTTGTATATAAATACCTTTTATTTATTATTATACTGACTTTATTTATATGAGGTATAATGTATATTAAACAGCGATAAAGTTGAAAAATTATTGAATTTTAAATAAGAATTAATAAAATTTAAAATTTTCTTTGACTTGTGTGAAACATATTAAAAGTGACTTATAAATAAAACAAAAAAGGATGTGTTTTTAAAACAAAAAACAAAAGAAAAACGTTGCTCAAAATTTTTTTTAAAAAATTATATATTGTTCAAACAACTATTCATCAACAATAATTTTTTAATAGAAGTTTAAATCTCAGGCAAAAAACAAAAAATACAGGTTCAAATCATCTAGATCATACATTATCATCTCTCTTCACAAATTTATGGGAGCATTATACTAAGTTAAAGATTAATTAATTTTAAAAAGTTTATCTGTGATGATTTTTTTTCATTTGTTAGGAACCAAAGCTTTTAGTTATGGTACCCTATTAGTAGACAAATCGAAACCTAATTAATTGTACAAAATTCCTAAACCAGAAATATTGGTGTTTATCAACAATTGCTACCTGTTTTGTGAGGGAATATAACAAGTGTAAGATTTAAATTCTAAAGAATTAAGAAACCCAATCTACATATTCCTTAAAAATAATGGTTTGCTTAATATTTTTCTCTTTGCATTTATTATTATTGATCCATAGTTTTGTTTTTTAAACATTCTTAGCGGATGTTTGGCTAACCTCATAAGTATTTTTCTGCAAATCGAGACAAACTCTTCTACATATTTATTTCGTATACCATAAAAACACTTCTTAAACCATGGTTTTGTTCTTATCCAAACTTCTTTTTAGTTTTTTCCGGAAAAAATCTTAGTTTTCTGGGTAATTTTAACTATATTAGTCTGGATTTTTTGTTGGGCTGGCCCTACCCATTGGCACTCAGCCCTTTTGGACTGGGCTTGGTACCTAATTCAAACTCGTCGCCCATGGAAGATATTCAGGCCTGATATGGGCCCAGATTAATGCCCAATCACCCCCTCCCATGTACACATGGACGTAAAATTAAGTTCGCTCTTGTACCCCCAAAAACATTCACTTTTGATGACTGTGCCCAGGGAAAATTATTTCAGGAATATCTATATTTTTTCTCAATTTTTAATTGGAGGTTAAGGAAATTAGCAAAGAAAATTAGAGATTTAATCAAAAAGGAAAAAAATTATAAGTACCTAATTAAAAATTAAGAAAAAATTTATGTAACTGCAAAATAATTATCCACATACATATATGTATATATATTTTAAAATTTTTCATTGCTCCGTTCCGTGGAAAGATCTTAGGTTCAAATTCAATACCGGGTCCGCAAGTGACGCCTACAATTAGTTTGCTTAAATACCACATCCGGTCCTAATTATAAGAGTTAGTTAACTAATTTGAGGAGATTAATAAAGTAAGTTGAGTTAGTTATTTGTCCTCAATAAGTGTTGTCGTTTCTAAAATATCCTTACTAATCAAGTGTATTAACTAGAACTACTATTGTTAGAAGGATTACTTTGAAAAAAAAAGTATAAATATGAGAGACAAAATAATTGGGGTCTTATAATTAGGATTAAAATAAAAGTAACATAAGGTCTTATATTAAGGGTCGGAGATAGTAAGAAAGTATTAATTAATTTATGTCACTTTTTAGCTTTTTTTTTTTTGGGATACAGTGTCACTTTTTAGCTTTTGTTGCGTGAACCATATGTATCTTATCTTGGGCACCAAAAAATGAATATGCTCGTTATTGGTAATTAGATTGATTTGATGCAATGTTCATGCACATGCATATACATAGATGAGACATTTTAAGACTGATGATAATTATTCCCTCCATAGCATCTGTTTAACTAATTTAAATACATTAAAAAGTCAAATAGATACATTAATTATAACAAATGTCATCTGATCTTCTTAAAACTTCTTATATAACATTATAGTACTATACATAAATTTGCAAATTAAATAAAATTAATTTAGGAAAAATGATAAATATAAGACACAGTAAGATGAAGTCTTATTAAAAATGAAGTATATTTTAAGATAAGAAGAAATGGATACAGTAGTATGATTTAAATATTGTGGGGTGAGTTTCTCTCTATCTCTCTCAACTGGACTATATAATTGGTAAAATAAAATAAAAAAAATTATATGTGAATTGGAGGATGTGTTTGGAAGAAAGATATATATTTAAGTTTCTAGATTAATATTATTATGGAGGATAAAGTGGAATCAATTCTATCACTCAAATTAGACAGCTTGAATATATTGGCCTATCTCAACTTTTTTCTCCAAACCCGAATAATGCAAACCACTTTGTTTATTCTTCTCCTTTTTTATTTTTCATCTCGCTTAAAAATTACAAATATTATAGTTTTAGGGGCAAAATTCAGAGAGTCCGAATTAACAATAATGCAATTTTCGCAATAGAATAATTTTTTCTTCTTATTCGCAAAACGCTATGTTTATTCCATTTCTCGATAATGCACCCTATATATTCAAGCACCAACGCCAATAAATAGATATACGTAATTTTGCAGGCAAATGTGTTTAATTACATGTACTCCCTCTTGTCAAAAAAAAAAAAATTACACGTACTCCTCCGGTCCTTAATATAAGACCCATTTAACTAATTTTATTAGATTAAAGAAGTTAGGTAAATTAGTTAATTATAAAAAATGTGACACGTTTTTCTTAAAACACTATAATCATCTTTCTTAATACTCCCCTCCCTCTTCTACTTGATTATGGTTGAGGGAGTATCTATAGAGGTAATTTAGAGAAAACTGATAAATATAAGAAATGGGTCTTATATTTAGAACCAAAACCAACTCAACAATTGGGTCATATATTAAGGATCGGAAGAGTATATCACTAGTGGAATTTATACATAGAGTTTGAAATTTATCTTAAAAAAAGACCTTAATAATTTGTTGGGACAATAATTCAATTGCGGCCCTCTTTGTCATGTACACACATACATATTAAATAAATTTGCAAAATATTTCTAACAAACATTAATGAAGCTTGAGAAAATCTCAAGCTCGTTGACAAAATATCATTAAATATCACAACCTCTTATTCTTAATGTAAGAGCTTATTTAACTTCTATTTTAATCTTAAATAGTCCTTACAATAATAATAGTTTTAGCCAATACACTTGATTGGTAAAGATATTTTAGGAAAGACTAACACATCTAATTATTACAAATGAATAACTTAATAAACTTCCTTAATCTACTCAAATTAGTCAACTAACTTTTATATCAAGCACTAATATTAGTATTTTACAGTCATGAAGAGGATACATAGCTTCCTATATTAGACGGTTGATATTAACGTGAAATATAATAATGTAGTTTAGTGTAATACTCCTCCGATCCTTAATATAATACATATTTAACTAATTTGATTAGATTAATAAAGTTAGGTAAGTTAGTTAATTATAAAAAAATATAACATGTTTTTCTTAAAACACCATAATCATATTTCTTAATATCCTCCTTCCTTCTTCTACTTGATTGTGATTGAAGAAGTATTTATAGGGATAATTTAGAAAAAAAATGATAAATATGAGAAATAGGTCTTATATTTAGAACCAAAATTAACTTAACAATTAGATTCTATATTAAAAACTAGAGGAGTATAATACTAAGCAAACTGTAACTTAAACTTGACCAGTTTCCTTAACTAGAATATACATATACTTTAGTGGAATTATGCTACTCCTGTGATCATTAATATAAGACTTAAATAATTAATTTGAATAAATTAAAGATGTTAGTTAGATTAGTTAATATAACGTAGTTTTCCTAAAATATTCAAATTATTTTTCTTAATTCTCTCCCTCCCTCTCCTACTTAATTATTATTAAGAAAATATTAATAAGATTGATTTGAAAAAAATTATAAAAAAAGTCTTATATATTGGACCGATATCAACTCTTAAATAAAGTCATACATTAAGGATCGTAGGAGTATTTTTTTCTCTCCATTAAGCACTCATGATGTTATTTTCTACTTCCATTTAGCAGTAAAAATTAGAATGGGATGTTGGAAGTATTAAGAAAATAATATCATAACAGTGGCTGAACTAAAAAGTTACTAGGTTTGATTTATTTTTATAAGTTGGAATTATGAGGTAACTGAAATTTCTCTCCGGTCCGATATATAGACTAGAATATTTGATTAAATTTTAAATTCTAATAAATTGTATTATCTAAGGTAGCTCAGGATTATGATTTTTTTTTTAAATTCATTCAAATGAGATTTGAATTAGAGACTCAGAAATTAGGAGGAACATATGAAAATTTAAATTTATTTATTTATTTCTCTATTTAAGCTCCCATTAACATGCTATTTAATTATAATGTTTCTCATTTAATTCAATATATTCAAATCTTAATTAAGATATTATTTAAATTCAAAATTAATTATTAATTTTTTTATTTGAGCCTCCAATTAAAATCACATTTAATAATGATGCTCCTCATTTAATTCAATATATCAAAATGGTATTCAAATCTTATTAATTGAATATATTTGGATGTCATAATGTTCATTTTTAAACAAACTAAGTATTACATGTTATCAAGAATACAATTGATTGATTATTAATTTTTTCATTTGAGCCTCCAATTAAAATCTCATTCAATAACAATACTCCTCATTTAATTTAATATACCCAAATTTTAATCAAAATAGTATCCAAATCTTGTTAATTGAATATATTCGGATGTGATAATGTTATATCTGACCTATTTTTAAGACAAATTAGGTGTTATAAATTTTTAAGAATATAGTTAATTGATTGATGATTTATGAAAAGACGAAAGGGTAAGGGCCACAGCGGCATGACGGTTGGTGAAGGCGATGGGATATAACACTCACAATTCTCCAAAACGAATATATATATTGGATGGATGTGAAATTTATCCACTTAGTATATTTTTTTATGCATCATCGAATATTTATCCATCTTTTCAATCGATCGTGACCATTCTCACTTTATATATATATATATATATATGCATATATTATTCTATCACGTAAAAATTTCATCTAATTAATTTGTCCAACTTTAATCATGTCACTACTAATTAATTAATGTCTCTCTACTAATCTACATGATAAATTTGTTTCCAACTATAGCTTTTTTTTTTTATTTATAACGGTGTATTAGTAATTTAGTATGCTCGAAAAAGTTTAAATTAATTCCATTCAACTCGTATAAGTCAATCACTATATATATATATATATATATATATCACCACCTTTCTCTATCTTCTCATCTTTTTATTAACACTAATAACATTTCTCTCCATACTAATATAAATATATATATTTTGGCCAACTCTACATCGGCTCCTAATTATAAGAAGTTATTTATAATCTATAAATAATGTCTTATAATTATGACCGGAAGTAATATAATGTAAGAGCAAAAGGTGATTAATAACAATTATCATCTATTCTTAACTTTTACAGATTATAAAGAAAAAAAGGGAACATTTCGATCTCCCCTTTTGTTTATCGTAAAAAGTGCACAAAGGATTTAACATTAAGAAACTGTTTGAGAGTTTTGAAATCAAAACCAACGATGCAGCTGGCTATATACATCAAGTTTTTATATATATATATATATCTATATCTATATATCCTACCCAGAATTTAAATATGCGATGAAGATATTAGAATTCAATATGATACACCATAAAAGTGCTCTATAGATATTTATATATTAGATACTGATGATGATGATTATATTAGTACAATTAAGCCGCAAAAAGGACAAAAAACAGACGGATCAAAGGTTAAGAAGAAGACAACGCAGGTTTGTTCGAGGTTCCTGAGGTAATAATTAAGGCAGTGTTTGGGGAGTAGTAATGATGATAGTGAAGATTAGAGCCAGAGAGCTCCGGCATCCCTGAGCATTCTCTTGAGGGAGCCATTGAGGTGAAGGGTCATAACAGTGTTGGCGCAGCCGACGAAGCGGCCGCCGATGAACACGGCGGGGACGGCCGGGTTGCAGCCAAGCCTGATGAGGGCCCACTCCATCTCCTTGCCCCGAGAGTCCTCGTCCAGCTCATAAACCGCCGGCCCAACTCCTTGCTCATAGAACAACCTCTTGATGGCGTGGCACATCCCACACGAGCTCTTGCTGAATATCACCACCGCCTTCTGCGACGCCAACTTCGCCACTCGGTCCATTGAACTCAGTGAGTTGTGTGTCTGAAGGATATAGCTATATATGATGTGTGTCTTTGGGTGTGTGATGTCATGGGGAGAATGAAGAGGAGGGATTGTGTATTTATATTTGGGGGATGATTGGAAAGAGGGAGGATATGAGAATTTTGGATTTAATAATAAATTAAATAAAGGAGAAAATTATAAATATTTATATGGGGATGGAAAAAGAAGGGTCGTTTTAGGGTTTGATGCCCTCAAGAATGAATATGTGTGCGTGTGTGATGGGCTTGAGGTTTGTGTTTTGCATTACGAATCTATTTTGTGCCACACATTGCCTAATTAATTAAGAATTTAATTATGGGGCAAATTGTACAAGGAGTTGTTGTTTGTTTGTATGTGGCTAAGTCAAAATCAAACCACATTTTAAAGTTAATTTTACAATATACAAAATAAGTATTTGAGAAGAATTTGATCTCGTTTTTTTAAAAAAAAATGCTTTTTAAAAGTGTTTTTACTTCGTTCAAACACCCTTGAATTTTTACAAATTATATAAAAAAATCCCATATCAGCTTTATGTCATATATAAATAACTTTCTTAACTTTTGAAAGCTCACATTAAACCCCTCCGAATTTTTATAATTATACAAATAATTAATTCCTGTACTATTAATTTTGTTTACTAGTTACCTGAAAATGGGTTAAAATACTAGTTTAAAGGATATAGATATATATGATGTATGTCTTTGTGTGTGTGATGTCATGGGGAGAATGAAGAGGAGGGATTGTGCATTTATATTTGGGAATGATTGGAAAAAGGGAGGATATGAGAATTTTGGATTTAATAATAAATTAAATAAAGGGGAAATTTATATATATGTGTGTGTATATATATATGGGGATGGAAAAAGAAGGGTTCTTTTAGGGTTTGATGCTCTAAAAAATGAATATGTGTGTCTGTGTGAGATGGGCTTGAGGTGTGTGTTTTGCATTACGAATCTATTGTGTGCCACACATTGCCTAATTAATTAAGAATTTAATTAAAGGGTAAATCATACAAAGAGTTGTTGTTTGTTTGTATATAACTAAAAGAGTATTTGGGTAGAAACCAAATCATAATTTTAAAAATAATTTTACAATATATAAAATAAGTATATGATAAAAATTTTGTTTTGAAAGCGGTTTTTAAAAGTGTTTTTTGCCCCATCCAAACACCCCTCCAATTTTTACAAATTATACAAAAAATCCCATATCAACTTTATGTTACACATAAATAACTTTCTTAACTTTTGAAAGTTCACATTAAACCTCCTCGAATTTTTATCATTGTACAAATAATTAACTCTCGCACTATTAATTTTGTTTATTAGTTACCTGAAAATGGGTTAAAATACTGGTTTAAAGGATTTATCTGTATATAACTCAAAATTTGAGGATATTATATACAAATAAAAATAAAGTTTAAGCGGTATAAAATTAATAGTTTGTCAGTTGTTTTGTAATCTAACGACATGTAAATTTTCTTATAAGTAAGAAATTGAGAATTTGATTCCACCAATGACTTCAAGCACACCAGTGCTTGCCCTTCTAAATTTTAAAAAAACTAATACTCCTCCGATTCTAAATATAAGACTCTTATACTAATGTGTATAAGGATCTTATATTTAGGACCGGAGGAGTAGTTTGGGTTATCTGCATAAACTTGAAAGTTTAGGAGTTTATTATGGTTATATAAATTCGTGAAAGTTTTATAATGTAATTGAACCTTTGTATATATGATGGCGAGTGTCAATCACAATTCAAGTTTATTTAATGGGAATTTCTTTGTTTTTCCCCCCAAATGGATGTAAAAGCATTTTTAGCACTTGTTATCTGACTGATGGTTAAGTGATAAAGCATCGTTATAAACAAACCTATGGATATTTATTAATCATATCTTAGTAGAGCTTTTTCACAATTATATTGATTTTGACTAAAATTAGATTTTGTGAAATAACATATATATGCTTTGTTAGTAATTAATTAAAAGAAATTAAAAGAAAGGGAATGAGATGCAGTTTATGTGGACGAAAATGACCCTGAAATGACAGTTATGTACATGCGTGAGCATGATGAGTACATCATATCATAAGAGTGTGCGTAGGGAATGTCAACTTCGGATAAGGGCACGTACTGCCGAATAATCAACTTCTTCAATAGCCTTCCAAACACTCCAACTTGATCTTTCCCTTTTCATGATTTATATTTATCATATTTCTAACTTATTTCATTTAATTATATGAACTTCAAATGAAAAGTTTCAATCCAACATAGCTCATCATTTGTTCTACTGACATAAATTTAGAACACACTATTACGTTTTCATGCATATTACTCTCCGCAATCCAATGTAAAAAGTCCTCATTTACCGACATAAAAAGTCCTGCTTCTAATAGTGTTAGTTTGTATTTTAATATATATATATATTACTTCTGATCTTTAATATAAGAGCTAGTTTAACTTTTAATTTGATTTTAAATATAAGACTTTAATCTACTTTGTTTCTCATATTCATCCTTTTTTTTAAGATAATCCTTATAGTAGTTGTATATGTTAAAGACTCAATCAAATGGTAGTTCTAACTAATATATATGGGTAGTAAGGATATATATTTTAGGAAAGACAACACCTATTTATTACAAATAACTAACTTAACTAATTTTCTTAATTTACGCAAATTAATTAATTAACTCTCATATTAAGAACCAGAGGTAGTATATAAATGTTTTTTTTTTCAGTTTATGAGATTTTTTATTTTTTGCCAACTGATTTTCAAATAAAAATATAAATCTCACATGATTTAAATACGATGTAGATAATGTAAATGAGAATAAATACCAGTTTGATTGTTGCGTTGACAGTTGGATACATGCATGGAGGAATTAAGAGGGAAAAAGGGATATATAGTTGGTGGGACCAACCAACTTGAGATGTTGATCCACGGTAGATGCAACTAAACTTTGAGATAAAATTAAAGTTTCATGATTTAATATATCACAAGAGAAAAAGTGAAAGCCTGGTTAATTAATTAGTAGTATCTGATGATGCATATGTGTGTGTGTGTGTAATGAGATAATAATAATGAATGCTCCATTTGCATGGTACAGTGAAATTGGAAACTACGAACAAGTCTCATTTTTGCTTGTTTGGTAGATTGCAACTTAATTGCAAGTGGCTTCTTTTTAGGGAAGCCACTCACTAAAAGCTAGGCATAAAATTAACACTTGGTTATTCTTTAATTCTCTCTCTCACACACACAAATAGCAGCTACACGAAATTAATCCATACAAAAACAAAAGGTAAATGCTTTGCTAGCCAAACTAATAAGTCAGTGCACCAATCTCCTGATCAATCTGGTCAGAAGATTTGGATGGCTTGATTTATATTTTATCCTTTAATTTAATTTGATGAGCTTGAAATCATATGATTTTGAGTTTTTAAAAAAGAAAAAATGTAGTAGCCAATAAGATTTATATTTCAGTAACTTTGTTATGTTGAATTATGTGGGATTTATACATGAATATTCTATTTACTTGTGAATTAATACCATTTTTACTTAAATATGACTCTTTTCATCAAGGTTAAACATGCATTATTTTGTATATTTCTACTTTGCATCGACCAATTCATCATCGACCACTACTATTGGTTGTAATTGAATTGTAATGGACTTATCATGATGATGACCAAATCTGTCACACAGCCAAGATTTGAAAAAGAAAAACCAATTAAGACTTGACAAATGATAACGTTGGAGATGTGAAGAGATGAGAAGGTGTGTGTGAGAGAGAGAGATAGCGGGCTTGTTTGTGATAGCGTTCAAAAACACTTATAAGTATATTTTATGTTAATCAAGATAAATTTTTTTTTACATGCTTACCTCGTATTCTATAAATCATTATTAAAAAGCTACTTATAAGTTAATCCGAACGGCCCAGTAAAGATGCGTGTGATATTTACATGCATATGTGTGAGTGAGTGAGAGAGGCCAGCGACGTATGTAGAGAATTTTGACCTTTATTTATGTATTATTGTAACATAATGCAGAATAAGCATTATATCATTCACTCTACATATACTCCTATTGTTATTATTTTTCAACTTAATTTTCCAACCATATCATTATATATATTATACCCTTATGGCAAGCAAAGAATACTTGACCTCATTTATTTCATCAATAGTATTATTGTTTTGTTAATAAAAAATGACTTGTGTTTTGGGCAAAAAAAAGTTATAAAGTAGTTTGCAGTATCTACTTAATTAAACAGAAGTCGGCCTTTGGATTAATTTTCTACACTAGCTAGTCGTCTCATCTATTTATAATAATATGCTTCGAATATTTTTTATATACAAAAAATATATAGTATATATTTTGCGAAAGTTTTTTATGTGAGACTCACACACACACACACACATCGATGCATGTTACTGAATTTGATTATAATTTTGACCCAAAATCTTAACATGTTGAACTCATGAGTCTTTTTTTTTTTTTAGTGAGATGATAATATACATCTTATCTTGTTGAATTCAATTTGATATGAAATTTCTTTTCCAAAAGAGCAAGGAAGGAAATAATGGATTGACCATATGGTAGCAGAGAAATATATATGTAGGAGAAGTTTTTCATCTTCTGCGTTATAGCACACATACCTTTGGTTCTTAACATAAAAATAATACTCCTTCAGTCCTTAATATAGAACCTAATTGTTCATTTGGTTTTGGTCCTAAATAAAAGATTCATTTTTCATATTTATCAATTTTCTCTAAATTACTTCTATGTATACTCCCTCAACCATAATCAAGTAGAAGAGGAAGAGCAGGTATTAAGAAAGATGATTATGGTATTTTAAGAAAAACGTGTCACATTTCTTATAATTAACTAACTTACCTAACTTCCTTAACATAATCAAATTAGTTAAATGGGTCTTATATTAAGGACCGGAAGAGTATAATTAATTTGAAGATATTAAGGAAATTAGTTAAATTTGTTATTTGTTATAAACGTGTGTTGACCTTCCTAAATTATACTACCTCCGGTCCTTAATATAAAACCTTATTTGACTTTTATTTTGGTCTTAAATATAAGACTCCAATCCACAATTTGTCTCTCATATTTATACTTTTTTTTTTCAAAAAAGTCTTTCTAACAATAATAGTTCTAGCAGTGTACTTGATTAGTAAGAATATTTTATGAAAGACAACACTTATTCATTATAATAACTAAGTTAACTTATTTTTTTAATCTCCTCAAATTAATCAACTAGCTCTTATAATTAAGACCGGAGGTAGTGTATTCTCTTTAATTATGTGGATTGGATGGCTGAAATTATTGCTTAGTAAAAACTTTTTACAATCAATAAGGATATTGTAGGAAAAAATAAGAGACAAAATAAATTGAAATATTATATTTATGACTAATTCCAACTCCCAACTCCCAACTAATTCTTATATTAAATATCAGAGTATAAGTTAGTACTGTGAGTACTTTCCAGTGGGTTTGATCCCGTTATAATCTGATCAAACTGCCAGTATTTTCCCTTCTAATTCGGAAACAAAGGCATAAAAAAGCCAAAGGACCTATCCTTACAACCACTTATAACCTGTAGATGCTACTGCCTAATGCTATGCACAAGCCATTGGGTTATTCTTTTGGATATATCGTTTGGTTTGCAAATACAAGCATACATAATTTATATATTATCCCACGTATTATTTCTTCATAATTATTTTTGGCTTATTATTCTTTTGAATCCCTTTGTTTTGAGAGGAAAAAATATAAATATTTTTCGGAGAAAACTGTTCAATATTAATTATAAATTATCGAATGCTAAAAATCAAACCCATAAAAATTTGATCTATATTAGTATAGATACAAACTTAAAAACTTCGCATACAAAATAAATCATACTAATTACAGTTTGCAACTTAGCCATTCAAAAAGATTAGAATCAAATGCAATCAAGTAAAAATACAAGATATATAAATCTAGAGATTGTTTTTTTGGGCAATGAGCAGTTAATTTGAGATTTTGATGGATCATCCAAGAATGTCCAAATCGAAAATGAAATTAAGATTTGGAGCACAAACCTTTATAGAATTAAGTAACTATACATATACTATACATGACTGATAAGTGCATGTGTTAAATGCGTGTGGATTAATAACAAGGTCGGTTATTGAGATTATGTTGTTTCAAAGGACAAGATATATAGATGCCATATGCTCCAGAACGAGGATAACAATAAATATAAATAATGCGTTTGGGAATCATTTAACCAATCTCCCTTTAGATAATCTTTGGAGGAATATATTTATTCATTCATTCTTTCATTCACACTGCATATAATAAAAGAATTAAAGAATCAAGCTTTTAATAATTATCATCACAATTTCAAGTCAATACATTTTAATGTATAAATTAAAGATAAAAGTAATATGCAAGTCTCTGTAATTTTACTTGATTTTTTAATTAAGTTCTTGTGTCTGTTTTTTTAATTAAGTCCTTACGGTTTTTTTAATTATATATGGCTATCTGTTTGTGTTCTTATAATTTGTTAATTTGTGAGAAAATGAGGCTAGTGACTAGTGATGCATATGGCTGTCACCCAGCAAATTTACTCCGGGATTAACTTTGCCATATAAATTCAAATAAAATCAAAATTAACCATATGCAGATTATGTTGATAATAAATCAATTTATTCCATAATTTTTTATAGAAAATCTTTTTTTATTTTGTAATAACTTATATATGTTACTTATTCAGCATCAACATTATATCCTTAATTAACAAATGATTAGGAACTAATGCCTGTAATTGAGGAAACTGTAAGGACTCAATAAACAGAAGGGGGAAAAAAAAGGAACTTGATTAAAAATCTGGTTAAAAAAACTATAAAAACTGACAAATTGATTAATATTTTTTTTTCTGAAATAAATATTCTGTGAAGAGAGAAAAAACTTTAGGAGAATTTTCCTTTACAGGCGGTGGGTGCTTTCTTTTGGGGTTCTCTGCATATTGATTGAGAGGCTAAGCCATATATATTCTATCTGTCCCTCGTATCTTCAAAAGCCAATACCCAAACAAAACATCATGTCATGATGCTACTGCATATCATAAATAAATAAATTCAACTTGAGGGCCCTTTTGGCCTTTTCCCCTTTTCTCTGTTTAAAATATATTTTTCTTTTAAAAAAAGAACAATTTTCTGCGCTTTAAAATAAGTAAATTGTACAGTTGTGAGTACTTCATCAACTTCACCAACCAGTGAAACCCTAATGTGTACTGTGTGCGATGCCAAGAACCGTCATCGCATTCTCTTCGCATTTTCCAGCTTATAAAGTTCACATTCCTTCGCCCCACCATCTTTCTTTTGTGTGTGTTGTGTGGGTGTGTGTGTGGATGATGTCCTTCTACACACACATCATTATATATAAATATATGCCACCACACACACACATCATTTTCTTTTTTTCACATGCACCTAATATCCTAACCAACCTTTCAAGGAATTATAAACCAGACTAATTTAGATCAGGTCATGGTAAGGCCTACATAGGCGGCGACCCTACCACCTATACTGTTACATTCCTAAAGACTCGAACCTGTGACTTTTTGTTAACTTGGAATAACTTCTACCAATTGATCCAAGTGCTTGGTGGTCACACACATTATTAATTATAACGTTTGCATTGGTTTTAATTGGATTGTGAGGGTGGCTGTTGTTTTTAAAATGTGTTTGATATCAAGCCAGTAAGAAAACAAAAAGAAAGCTTACAAGTTCACTCAAAAAGAACAGAAAGAGAGAGAGCTTATATATATATATGTGTGTGTATATATATATATTCTGAGAGAACCTGTGAGAACCATCTTATGAGGGACACACGTATATATATTCTGCGAGAAATCTATGAGAAATGCAACAAAATAGCACTCCTCTTGTGTTAAGTATAAGACTTATTTTTAATATAAATTCTATTACAAAATGAGTCTTATATTTAGGATTAAAAGAGTATTTCTTATTCAGTAAAGCTTTTAACAGATAGAATTTCTCACAGGTTTTACCATCAAAAAAACTTGAAAAATCGTTGAATTTTCAAAAAAAAGAATAAAAGAAGGTCATGAAAACTATTCTTATAATAATTCTGATTACCCTTATAATGATGTTGAAAAGTTAAAATATGTCAAAATCACCGATTTATCATTTTTAAATTCAATAATTATTTTTCTATCATTTTCTCAAAAAATTTCTTACAGATATTACATGCATAAAAAAAAAATCTCTTGGATGATATTCTGAGAGAATTTAATTTCTCATGGAGACTTGACCCGTGAGAAGTTTCATGTCAGATTACGTACTAAGAGAGAATGGGCAAAACTGCAATTTGAGTCATATAATTTAATACAAAATTTCAATTTTATCCCTTCCTTTTCAAGCCTTTTTACTTTGTGTGAGAAAATACCGCGAGCTTTCTCAACGAATTGAAGGTCTCTTCTCCCACATATATTAGGGCTATGGGGGAAAACACTGTTTTTACTGCAGTGAATTTTATCATACTCCTGCAATATGAGAGCCACCCTACTAATTTAAATAAATTATATCAGCTAAATAAATTATTTAATTCTAATAAATGTGATATAATTCCCCCAAAATACTCCTACATAACATTATTAGATTATATATTAGTTAATAAGTTAAATAAATTAGTTTAAAAAAATATAAGAAATAAAATGCATTAAAGTTTTACATCTATGACTAAAACTAAACTTCCTAACAAACTTTAACACTGAGGATCTGAGAAGTTTACAAGGCCATGCTTTTACCCCTATGTATATATTTTCCCTTGATTTTACTGAGTTATAAATATGTCAATTTTCTCAGCTCGACATACTTAACTCATGATTTACGTCAACCCATCAACTTAATGAATTTGATATATGCGTCGTACATATGCATTTGCATGAAAATGCCAAATGCTGATATATATATATGTGTGTGTGTGTGCGCGCGTGTATGTATGTATGTATGTATATCTGTGTGTGACTTGATACATATGGATATGGTTGTGGAATCATACGTGAGGATGCAACATAAGTGGCCCTTAGCTTCAGCATAGAGCCGTTTGATTGTGGGACACTAATACCTTAAAACGTACTGTTTGAAGGAACCCTACAACAATAGAAATAGCACACACACACACACACACAATTACTTTTGCAACTTCTTCTTCTCTTCTTCCTCTGATCTTCTCGTTTCAGCAGGTCAAGTTGCTATCATCAAACGTGGCGCCATGTGAAAGTAAACAACCTTACAGCACCACGCACACAAGAGAATATAAAAGTGCTCATAGTATTGCAAAACCCAAGATTCCCTAATGACAGCAGCCACTCAACTATACACAGGTCGGAAAGAAATTTTAATTAAAGGCAACTAGCTTTTTTGATTTTGTTCACTGCATTTTTTTTTCCAGACTGTTCCTGATGATGATATGTAAATCTTATTTGGTTCTTTACCATATCCCATTAATTGGATCTTTCTCATCAATTTGATCACCAACAAGATCATCGCCTTCTTTTTCGTGTGATTTGTGCATATCATCAACAGGTCTACAAATAACTCTAAAATTCCATTGGCCAATAAAGAAAATAACTACTGGTATTTGCTACTGTACTCAACAGTACAGCCAATCGTATTTTTAGCAAGTCAATGACAGGTTAATAGTATTTTCAACATCGTAATGACAAGTCTTATCTCACTATAAATGAGGCTATACGAGTGGCTTGATAATACTAAATAAATAAAAAATGTATTTCAGCAGATAATAAATGTACTGTTCAGTTAACATACGTACCAAAAAGCTTTTAATCACATTTCTCTTTCTGGAATTGGATGCGAATCTTTGATAGAGGTCCCAATTGGATAAATCCAACTTTTCTTCCACCGTAGCAGATGCTTCTGTTAAAGGTAGAAGCCAGAAACTCCCAACATAGAATTTCTTTTCTTTTTTATTTCTTCTTCTTCTTCTTTTTTTTTAAAGAAAAAATGGTACGCATATAATCACCACATATTCATATATAACCTCTCAAAAAATTACCATAATGAAATAAATTTAGCTAAATGGGTTCATTATCAACCAACTCATTCCTATCCAAAATTTTCTCGTCAAACAGGGCTTTCAATCATCTCCAAGCTTGGAAACAAGTTATTAACACTGTAAAATCACTTGAGTGTTAAATACAAGTTGATGAGAAATATGACACATTTAAGTAAGTCTCATTTAGGTCTCATCTCTTTTGTCTGATGAAGTATTTTATATGATCCAAAAGTCATGACCTTGGCTAAAGCAGAAAATGAAAAATCAAATGCAGTAGCAAAAGTATTTGCTAACAAGAGACTTGGCTCAGTTCACAAAGTAGAAGTTCTATTTTGTTCATGATGGAGCCAACTCTTACTAGAACTTCGTCTTGAGGCCTCTGTTTTCTACGATTTTTCCCATTCTTCAAACAGCAAAAAAAAAAGTAACCACTAAGAAGGGATATGCATATAAAAATAACTCAGCCGTACCAAGGACGCCCTGGTGTTTCCGTATGCACATTAGATTCTTGTTGTGAAGGAACTTGTTGATCAATCACTTTCAAATAAATGATAAAAAGAGAAATTTAGAAACAGGCAAATATATTATCTAATCGAACATTCCTTCTTTACCCCACCACCCCATATCATTTTCTTTGCCAATTAGCTTGCTCAGCCATGCCTATCCGATCCTCTCCCAAACACCACTATATATACCTGAAGAGCTTCCCTCCTCCTCATCTCATCCCACACCAATTCCTACTTCAAGATCTGCATTGAACCCATTTGGCGATATATTCTTCTGGTTAGGCTACATTTGAAAATTTCTTAGAGCATCTTGTGTTTAGTACTGTAAGTCAGAAATGGACAGGGTGACAAAGTTGGCATCAGAGAGGCCTGTGGTGATCTTCAGCAAGAGCTCCTGCTGCATGTGTCACACCATCAAGACCCTCTTCAATGACTTTGGCGTGAACCCAATGGTTCATGAGCTTGATGAGATGGCTCGAGGGAAGGAAATTGAGCAAGCCCTTGTGAACCTTGGGTGCAGCCCATCGGTGCCAGCTGTGTTCATAAGTGGCGAGCTCGTGGGAGGAGCCAATGAAGTCATGAGCCTTCACCTTAACCGCTCCTTGATCCCAATGCTCAAAAGAGCAGGAGCTCTTTGGGTATGAGACAGTACTACTGAGTACCGCCCTTATCGTATCAGGCAATAAAAGTCCTGTTTTGGTCACAATAACTATATATGAGATTATAATGTAGGCATCGGATATAGAGTGATATATATCCATATTAGTGTATAGCTTATGTTGCTAAAGTTTTGGAATAAGCTGAAGGCTAACGTGATCGACTGAGGTGTAGTTTAGCCTTTTTTTTGGGGTATTTTAATGTAGCTTTGCGGCCTTATGTAGTTTTTAACAGTGTGCTTTTGGTATCATGTCAGTTGTGGTTTATCAGCATTTATCTTCTCTAACGTGCAGAGTTAAAAACCAGGCATAGATAAAAAGAAGTCAGGTTTCTTACATTAACGATCTAAAACACAAAAGAAACTAGATACGCAGGAAGCTGGGGGGGGGGGGAATTCTTAAGTACATTAACCAGCTAAATAACAAAAGAAAATATGCAGGAAACCGGGAAAAGAAGAATTCTTAAGTAAATTCAGTCTATTAAAAAAAATATCAAACAAAGTATACATAACGTGTGAGTATCTCAGGCAGACTTTTATATTTGTGGATGCTCTGTTTGAATTATTTTCCCTTAATAGACTGAATTTACTTGAGATTCTCTCCAACACGAAAAGTGAAATTACCACTAGCCATTTAAGATTATACCCACTACCCAAGATGAGATAAAATAATCTGTTTTAATCCTCTGTCCTTCAACTCCATATATAGCTGGGGTTTTGTTAGTTTGCAACCTTCTAAAACTATCTAAACGAAGTGGCTTATTATTATAATCTAGAAATAGCAACAAATATCACTATAGGACACAAAGCATATCTTGTTCTTCCACTTGGTTTAAGCAGGACAAAGGCATCAAATGCAATAAGCATGCAGGTAGGCGTGCAAGTGACACATGCAACCATTTTAATTCCTCAGTCACATCAACAAATAGACAGGAAAATGAAAGACAAAAAATAATAAAAAAAAAACTGAAGGAGAACTCAAAAATAGACAAAAGTTGGGTGGCGCACAGAGGAAAGTGTAGTTTAGGAATGAGCATGATAAGACGACAAGTATATTTTTTTCACTTGTAAGTTCTACAACACTCTGTTTTTCCTGAACTGTCCTTGTTCTGATGAATTCAATTTCCAATGAGTTACCCCCACATATCTTCAGTCAAAGAAGAAAAGAAGGTGATTGAACCCAATTGTTCTATGTTATTTC